TACCAAGCGTAATCGTTCTGCAAAATCAGAAAGGTGTGTTCTGTGGTTTGTTACGCATCACAGGAGATGCGGAGTGTGAGCGAGGTACGCCCATGGAACTGGTTGCTATCTCAGAGGGTAGTGCCAGCCTCAAAGACATGGCGATGTGCTTTGAGGAGAAGGTTTTTCAAAATAGTCAATATTGCCACCCTGGTCCATTCAATGCCGAATATGATTCCGAAGGATGGTGGACTGGTGTATCAGGTGGCTCGTCTATATGGGGCAAGGAAAACTACGAGGTTATTGCTGAAGGAGACTATGAAGAAGGTCTCATCCTCCCTGATGGCTGTTTATGTAAGGATTGCTTGTGCGAGGCGCATCTAGAAGGTGACGCAATTCGTGAGTTTTATAACGTTCTCTGGGTACGAAGAGAAAACGGAATTGCGCATAGAGTAGGCTGTGGACGAATAATTAAAGACCGTTGGAGGCAAAATGATCCGGAAAAGACGAGAATTATTCTCAACTGAATACTACGAGCTGCTCCTCCGAAATTCTGGTGTTGAATAAATGATCTTGTTGCACAATGTAACGACAAGAACATTTATAAATGAGCAGTAGAATCTAAAAGAATAATAGTCATAGCCCTTGGTTAATTTCCACTTCTCTAAAACAAGAACTATATAGGTTCACACCTCCTATATGTCCCAATTCCGGTAATCTATATTAAAACTCACAATACAATAGTAATCCCTTTAGGGGGCGTAGACTCGATAAGACTCTATGATTTTGAGATAGATTGTATAGTATAATTCTATAGTTGATAGACTAGAATCCTAGGAGTATGAGAGTACAAGGCGTTCGAATTCTAGAACATCGAGATAATTAAATAAAGTTCGAGCAACATGAGAGTGATTTGTCGAATATAAAATGATATTGCAACTTTATAAAACAATCTTTTCACAACCCCAAGTCCCCTCATTCTCGGATGGAATTTACACTTATATATCTCATTCCATCCTAACCTCGCTTAATCATCAGATTTCTATCATGAGATTATCACCAAAATCGTTACTAACGTAACTTGACTAGAAATGAGTCATGTCATAATATAGGTCACAAAAATCATATTTTCCTATTTGACCTTGTCCTACATGCTACAGGGTGATCTACAATTATTACTAATCCAACTAAACTATCACTATCCTCTTCCTCTTCCATTTCCCTTTCTACCTAATCAATTTAATACTTAAATAATCTACCACATCATCGTTTTGGTAAGGGTATCTATTCAGCCTCTTCAATAATTTTCAATACTTTTTCAATACTAAATACAAATTCACCTTTTAACTTTATTCTCTTTCCACTTTTTTGTTTCTTTCATATTTCAAATAACTCTTTATATTCTTGAAGTTCCTTTCGAAGAATAGCATTTTCAGTATTTAAGCTTTCAATCTAATGAGTTATTCGTTTTGCATATCTCTGTACTAGAGAAGTAAGCAGATTATTAGCAGATAAAGCTGAATTGAATACCTTATTTGCTTGTTGCAGCTCAATATCATTCGGGGGAAAGCTATTAAGTAAAAAGAGATCTAGATCTTCTGGGTTTGCTAGTATATTTGAAATAGAAGGTAATGATAAAAACAGGGTTGAAAGATTATTTAGAACTTGACAAGAACTAAATGAATTCAAACCTGCTTCTTTCCATCCGCTTTTGATATTTTGATAATTAAAACCTTTTTCTCTTATCTTTTGAAAAAGCTGTACCCAATCAGATCATTATATTCGTTGTATTCCTGCTCGAGAATATCAATCAACCTCTTAGGCATGATATCGCTTTATCGATCCATACACTCCAACATCCAATAACTGAAATAGATGCAAATAATGAGGTAGTAGAATAAGAAGATCAATCTCCTTCTCAATACAGAAAGCAATCAAACTTCCTATAATATGACTAGAATGACTATCTATAATCAATAATCGAGACTGATCTCCTGATATTTTTCGAGATTCTGACTCAAAAACCTTATATATCCATTCAAAGCCATAACTATTAGAAATCCACCCATTATTGCTTGTTGAGAAATACCAGTTTGGAGGAGTGTTAGTTGGAATTCATATAGTATTGGTATTCTAAGCCTTGAAAATAATTATAAGGAGTAAAGAGCCTCCATCTGCATTCACACATTCCAATATAATTATCCACTCTTGCCTTCCTACTATAACCTTCCAATTCAATTTGAGAGTAGAATCTACAATTATACATATTAATTCTGTTTCTCCAATTGTATATCCTATTTCATCCATATTATATATATTCTTGAGTTTATAATATCGTTTTTCGATTTATACTTGAAATATTGAAAACCACACTGAAATTGTTTCAAATGTGGCTTCTTTATGCCTTACAGATTCCAATTTACGAGAATAGATTTCTTTAAGTTTGGAATATCAATCTAAGAACCTATAGATTTATCGTTAATTTATATGATTTGACTGAAAGGATAAAGGGATAGATAATAATATGAAAATGATATATTGATTTAGAATTTCTTGGGCTATTTCTTTCAACAATCTAGGAATTATAGGGTATTCAATAACTATCAATCGTGAGATTTATTGTACTAGAGTTTTTTCTTTTGTATTAAAAAGTTTTTGAAAGGATTCATGAGATTGAAAGTATAATTGTTATCCAGCCATTCGATTTATCAAAATTGACTTCGGAATCTTAAAATAAATAGTAGTATTTCGAATTAAAGTAAATTCTTTATTTTTTAGACTTTCTATAGCCTTTTGAATATTATCTTCCGATTTACTATGATTTAATGACTTTCGATTTATTGTGTATTGAATAAATGTGTAAAATAAAGAAATGAGGGGGTGATTTTGACCCATATTATGACATAACCCACTTCTAGTCAAGTTACGTTATCATTGTTATCATTACTGTTACTATTATCACTGTTATTGTCATCATCACTGTTATTGTCATCATCACTGTTACTGTTATTATTACTGTTACTGTCATGATTATTGTTACTATTATCATTACTGCTGCTGTTATCATCACTGTTATTGTTATCATCACTTCATCTCAACTCTCCCATCCCAACTCTCCACGCAACTGTTAATCATCTCCAAACCAAACCCTTACCAGTTCTAATCCTACCACAATAACATTTCCAGCCTCACTAAACCTCAAGAACGACACGCTCGTCAAAATCCCAAAGAACCGCGCTCCGCATCCTCAAAGTGTTGTGGGTAATGGATAAATGTGAAGTGATAATTTCGATGCCTATACAGTTATAGAGTCCTTTTATAAAGAGCTATCAATCTCATATTTTCCATTCCGCAACAAGGGGCTATAAAACAGAGAATATGGAATGAATCAGAAATGTGCAAGTAGATATAGTGAATACAGTGCAAGTATCTCCACCTCTCGAGATCAATATCGGAAACTCGAGTCGGAAGGTTTTGGTTATGAATCATGCTCTATTCCGAATTCCAAATTCCGTGCATATAAATTCTAATCCTACCCAACCTAGAGTACCAAGCAAGTCTCAAAACACGAAAATATGTCAGCCAAAGGAAAGGAAGTCCTCAGCATTTCCTTGCTAGTATAGAGTAAGGATATCAAGAATATGAATCTTAAAGTATCCCTCCCATATCTTCCACCTGTCTGCCTATATCTAAGTATAGTAGGTGAAGAATCACTGTCAATTTCTCCGCTTTCTATTTGTTATAAATTGTTTACTCTCGTCAAGAACCTGGATATACACATGTGTCATCATCATCATTATCATCATCATCGTTAATCCCCTCTCACCATCCCATCTCATCTCACCACACCCCTCCCCCCCCAAAAAAATCCACAATCTTCTACCTCCACACTCAACTAACTCTCCAAACTCGAATCTTGTCACCTAGATATCTGCCAAACAACATAAATCATTCACTCTTTCACTACCAACACACAAAATCCCAAATCCCAAATCCCAAATCTCAATCTTACCGCCAGAACAATATCCTTTACAAAGATTAATTTCAGAAACAACCCGAAAAAATAAAGATAAATAGATGAATATAGGTACCTACCTATATATAACACATAAATGATAGAAATGAAAAAGAGCCCTATACAAAGAACAAAACAAGAGGGAGGAAGAAGGATATGAGGGGAGAGGAAAGGGAGGAATAGAATCCGTCTGAATACCTACTAACCCATCGATTGCTATCGAACTGATTCGAAAATAATATATTAGTGAATATCTAGGAGGTAGGTAGCTTAAGTATTTACCTCCGGTTATATGATTCAAGATTCTAGAATCCAAAAAATGTGTCGGTTAGTAGGCGTTACCTACCTAGCTAGGTATATAAACCCCCCTCTCCTTCTACCCTTTCTACTCATCAACACTGAGAACCACACGATCGAAAATTGGAACAGGAAGATCTCACACACCAACCCCATGATGCTCCCAAGATCTTGAACTCAAGTACGTTACCTACCTAGATAGATACACACCACTCCCCCTCTCACCAAGAAGGTAAAAGAACCCCATATTCCTCTATCCAACCCTTTACTTATTTTCCATTTTTTACTGTCAAAACTTCCCTCCTTCGTCTTATTCACTATCCGCAGAGAAATATTCACCGTCATTGTATTTCTCATCGTTATCATCGCCAAAATATTGAAACCCCATCGCCATCTAAAATCCCACCATACATTTACAAACCCCATCGCCATCTAAAATCCCACCATACATTTACAAACCCCATACGAATATCGCACAATTTCTAAGCTCTGTAGAAAATGAATTTAGTTGTTGAACAGGAGCGCTAAGTTGCAGACCTTTGTAACTCTGGTTTGATTTTTTTCAAGTTGTTGCAGTAGAAAAAAGGCAATTGCGATGAATTTATAGCTGTCAAGATATTGGTACCAGCGAGAACCATGCAGAAGATACTTGTTTGAAAGTGAATTCCTTGTTTTGCATAATCTGATTCAGTCTGGAAGAGCAATAATAAGTTACTCTGCTTCTGTGTGAATCATCTCGTACTAGACAACTCTATATTAAACCCTCAAAATCTATCAATCTCCATCCATCTCCACGCCAGCAAGGCGATAAAAAAAGCCCTTCCCTAATATAATTCCAAACAACCAGCTTCAACTTCAAATCCCACCAAGAATCTGGAAGTTCAAAAACTATTTATGAGCCCGCACGACCATGTCGCATACCTCAACATCACACCTTACCACCATCCTCCCCTTATCTTTCCACCTGGTAGCCTGCTCATACACATACGCCGCTCCGATCAACTTCTCATCATCCCATCTTCTTCCTACGAAAGATATTCCAAGTCTATCACCAACCGTTAGTTTCATTTTCTCATTTTCAAACCATACCATCATACCCTCAGAGAGAGCAAAACACAAAAAAAACATCAAAAACTCACGGAATCCCCGGTCCGACCTCCACCATCCCATTCTGTCTCACAATCTCCGTTTCCGGGGGATAAAATTCCATAGGTACACTCACCACCGGACAACCTGCCACATCCGCCGGTTCAACCGCCACATTTGTGGGTAGGACAATCATATCGCAATCGAATTTATCTAGTAATTTAGGTATTTGTCTTCCCATATGATTTCTTTCCACCATAGAATTTCTATATTCTTCGCTATCTCTGACATACTTTTTGCCGACTTCGAGAGCTGATTCGAAATGCCCGAGGCCACGTTTCGTAGCTTCTTCAGCGGGGGTAGCGATTGAGTAGGTGATTACATCGGAGAGGGTGTATAGAGAATGAGGATTGGTAGAGAAGTAAGAGAGGGCCTTTTTGATATCTTTAGGGGATGATTAGCATACATGGTTGTACGGATGGGGAATCGTAGATGTACTGTGGTATATATCTACTTTTAAAGCGATATCATATTCGTCACCCGTACATGAAGATCTATCGGTATTGAATGTTGAATATGAAGTCGGATCCACAATGGTGGCTCCTAAGGATCTCATTGCATCGAGTGCGTTTTCGAAAAGATGGATGGTGGTGGGATCAACGTGCTTGAGAATATGGCGGGGTATCTTGTAGTGTTAGCATTCAAGCTGCAAAACACTCGCCGGCATATCTCACTGCGATTCGCACACCGTCTAACCTTCGAGAATTACAAGCTCCTGTGAAATCTGGGATTTTATTTGGCTTCCGGCAAAATATCGAATCTCGAGGATCGGAAATGGTGATAGGATCCTGCTCATCCTCACCTCTTTTATCTCAGTTAAGCAGAAGGACTTGGTCCAAACACTTACCTGCAATCACAGTCAACATAAGTGCTCCATCCTTGACGCTCCTTGCCAATATCCCTACAGTATCCTGACTATCACTCAAAATATACATTCCATATCTCGAAGTCATTCCTACCGTCGGTTTTATTCCTACAACAGCAGATCTCTGCGCAGGTAATATGACGCTACCAGAAGTCTATAGTTTCAACGTTCAGTTTACGCATTCACATCTGATTTGGGTCTTTCAAACTTAAATGGGAAATGACAAACCTCAGTCCCTAGAGCAGCAGCGCAAAGTCCCAAAGCAGTTCCAACAGCACTGCCGGATGATGAAGCTTTAGGATGTTGATCTTTATGATAGACACCTAAACACTGACCACCTACAGCAGACCAACCAGGAGTGCATCGATTATTAGCCCATTGCGAGCCATTTGCAACTCCTAATATGATTGCACCTTGTTCACGAAGTTTAATAATTGTTGTTGCTTCAATACTTGGGATAGCTTCGAGGAATCCGGTGCAGCCAACTTCATTAGGTGAGAATTTGCTTAACCTCAACAATTTTAAACTTACAGGTGGTCTTGAGGCCATCGGTTGTGAATAACAAATTCTTGATCAAGATCGGTACTCCATGAAGACTTCCATGAGCCAAGCCACGAGACCGTTCTTCATCCTTTTCTCTAGCAACGTCAATGGCCTTTCGATTGATCTCACTAACAACATGGACAATTGAGTTGACTTGCTCGATACGCTTGATGTAAGTCTTCATTATCGTTAGTGATACGACAAAGAAGTCATTATGGGCATCAACGGGCCCTAATAAGCTGTTCACTTGAGAAACTTCCTTTTTTTAAACCATCCAATATCTCGGTGATTGATATTTGATCAAGCTTCATGGTGGGTATTTTTTGACGACGGGAAACCAAACAGAATCGAAAAGGGTCAAAAATAGACTTGAAATCACACATAATGAGAATATCAACGAATTTAGAAGAACAACTCGATATTTCTTGATTTCGTCGACTTGGTGTAATGTATTACGAGAGTGAGTCGTTTGGGTAATTGGTGGTGTTGGCAATGATCTCATCATTTCTCGTAGTTCAGTCGTCAAATGGCGTTCAATTTTCACGCGGCAAGAACGCATTTTGGCTGGCGATTGCCCCCGGCTATTATACGTGATCGAAGTGGTATATGGCGACTCCTACATCTTCTTGAAAATAACATCTCTTTCTTTACAATTCATTCTCCCTCATCGTTTTCAATTAGCTCTTCACTTACTTGGATTGTGACGACTGCGGTGAACAATGTTGATTGAAAAAGTCCACATGAGGATACTCGTGTATAATTTCGACAATTCTTCACAATTATTGGTACGCTGTAGTGAGCGGATCCAATCTTCGAAGCTGTCCAAGTATTTCATTCAGCCGAGGCAGTACCCATGGGACAATCAATTCTGAGTTCACGATGATTATTTCAAACGCGACTTACTACGTCCCGTCCCTTCCCATCTCGATGCTTTGCATCCTCCTCGGTTCAAAGACAAAGTCGATTTCTGCTTGAGACGTACGTTTTTGGCGTTGTCATCGCATAGCAATGCGTGAGAGGATTCCCAACAATGTGTCAAGCCAATGATTCGTACGGCATTGATGGATGCTCAAAGCCACATACGCATATATAATGGACTTGGTATTACTCGTCGGTGATTATGAGTTTTCATCGAGTAATTATCGAGTAATGATCGAGTAAGAAAATGGGATGGATTGAGTTGGTGCGGTTTGTTATGTATCAGCTAATAACCTCAACGATAGGCTAAACTTAAGTCCGATCCGGCATCGGGATTCGCCTTGGCTGTTTAGTACTTCAGACGATGCAACGGACAAGCCAACCCATGCAGGTGTAGGTACACCAGTGGAGATGCATGGATGTTACATAATCAATCAATTTTCAAATTCCAGCAAAATATCACGAGAACCCGACACATATAAATCAAATTGATTGTGGCTTACATTATCATGGTCGTACAGCACACATGACTGATAATGAACATCAAAATTATTGGATGAAAATGATATCTAGGTATCCTTTTCACTGCCGTGTTCGTATTGAAATTTCCACACATCCACCACATCCACCACATCCACATTGAATGAATGAATGTTCACAGCTTCTTCTCATGCAACATCTTCACATGCCGAGATGTCCCGAATTAAAACTTCGATCGCCCTAACATAGAAGGTCTAGCAGCTCTCATTCTTTCGAGCCTTCCTGACTAGGGAGCGGCTAGAAGAAATGCTTTACTCGATCAAAACACATCATAGGTCATTTTAAGGGTTCAAAGCATGTCCCGACCGCTTGTTCCTTACGCCAGGGGAAGAGAAAATCTTTATTTATGGAGCTCTAGACGGAGCTAGTGGCTTTTTCATCTGGATCCAGGATTGGAGTCATTGGTCAGATACGAATTAAGCTTGGTCGTATTAGGATGAAGTCTACGATATCAACCCCTCGGATTGGTGGTTGAGAAGAAAGATAAGGGATTCTCGATGGATTCTCGATGTTCATGATAACGATTTTGGCGTGGGGACATCTACATCTTCGGATTCTTCCACCGTGGCATAGCTACGGACAGTCATGCTACGGTATCATACGGAAATGCACTCCACATTACAGTAAGCCTATCGTAGTTGGGTTCTTTCTATTTATGTTAATCAAATGTCCTTATATCTCCATCTTCCCTTTCCCCAGATTTGAAAAAGTTCTTCAAATTCTAGAAATTCACTTGAACAAAGAAAGTTCCCCCCTTCATTTCCCTTATCAGTCATTCCAATCATTCTCGAATCTTTCTTATCTATCCCACCTCTTATCCCCCACGATAAGATTTGTTCCAGTGGATATTCTCTCGAATCATACCTCAATATATCTTCAATTCGTTCTAAAGAACCTCTTCATACTTTATTTTCCATTATCACATCACAAAGGTCTTCAATATGACGACAACATACCCATATCCAACTCCTTCCGCCACCCCACCCCACGATTCTCCATTACAATCTACAGTCCTCGTCTCTTCGAGAGCAGTCATCTTTGACGAGAATGACAATCTCATTGTCTCGCCTGCAACCATCACAATCTCACCCTCGACCGGCAAGATTATATCCATCTTACCTACCGTTCTCCCACCCTCTAGTTTTCCACCAAACACAATTTATGTCGACCACACTCCTCATCTGATCCTTCCGGGATTAGTCGATGCACATGTTCATCTTAATGAGCCAGGTCGAACCGAGTGGGAAGGTTTCAATACCGGTACCAAAGCTGCTGCATCAGGTGGTGTCACAACAGTCATTGATATGCCATTGAATGCAATCCCACCAACTACAACCATGAATGGATTACAAGAAAAGATTAAGGCTGCACAAGGTCAATGCTGGGTTGACGTTGGATTCTATGGTGGAATTATACCTGGTAATGCTGAGGAGTTGCTTCCGCTTATTGAAGCGGGTGTCAGGGGCTTCAAGGGCTTCCTCATAGAGAGTGGCGTATGTACCTCCTCACCAATCATAGTTGCAGTAACTAACAAAAGTAATAGGTCGATGAATTCCCTGCCGTCTCTTCCGATGATATAGCCCTCGTTCTCAAGACACTCAAAGATGCTTCTACAACTCTCATGTTCCATGCGGAAATGATCCCACCAATAACAGCCTCCGTAGGTGATGACGTCCAAATATCCCTCCCACCTCTCCAACCATCAGGACCTCTGACAGCATACGATACATTCCTATCCTCCCGCCCTCCATCTTTCGAAACATACGCGATTGATCAAATCCTCTCGCTTGCCCATCTCGCTCCTTCTCTTCATCTTCACATCGTACACCTTTCCGCCATTGAAGCTATCCCTCTCCTCCGCGCCGCTCGTTCATCTGGCATAAACATTACCGCGGAGACTTGTTTCCACTACCTCGCTCTTGCATCTGAAGATGTATCCGAAGGTGACACCCGTCATAAATGCTGTCCACCTATTCGTTCTTCAGCCAACCGTGATGGCCTCTGGAACGAACTCTCACACCCGGAATCCGTCATCAAAACTATCGTTAGCGATCACAGCCCATGTACTCCTGAACTCAAACTCCTACCCGAGCATTTATCCCATGGCTGTGGCGCCATGCGCGACGATGCTAAAGGAGTGAATGGTGCATTATTGAAAGATCAAGAAGCCAAAGAAAAGGGTGATTTTTTCGCCTCTTGGGGAGGTATCTCTTCGGTTGGACTCGGTCTTCCAATTCTCTGGACAGAAGCCACATCTCCTTCTCGCGCTGCATCTTCTTCTTCGATCGATATCCTTGATATTGTGAGGCTATGCGCTGTGAATACGGCCAAGCAAGTCGGACTTCAACATCGCAAAGGAGCGTTGAGACCAGGGTTAGATGCGGATATTTGTATCTTTGAAGATAATCACGAGTGGCTTGTAGGCAGAGAAGAGTTGCTTTTTAGAAACAAAGTCAGTCCGTATACCGGAAAGACTATGAAGGGAAGAGTAAAGGAAACATGGGTTAGGGGAACTAAGGTTTATGAAAGGGGGGTCGGAGATATGAATGGAATGGTAGTTAGGAAGGAAGGTCCCGTTGGAAGGTTGCTTTTGGAAAAGAGGACTGTTTGAGCTTAGGTTTTAGATGAAGGAGTACTTGGATTTGGTAGGTGCTCAAGGTGTAACGATTTATGATATAATTTGGAAGTTGTTGGTATGGCATGGCATGGCATTGGTATGGGATATAATTGCATGTATGAATGAATGGTATGAAGGAAAATTTGCATGTCGATTTAGCTTAAGTTGGTTGCATATATTTTATGATTATGAAATAGAATTTATGGCATAATTAGCATGTTTATTGGGCCATTTTTCTCATTCATACGTTCAATTTCTCTTCGTGGGTTGGAAATGTACTTTGTAGGCCCGGGGGACCTTTGATTGTGGCTGGGCTCAAATGTGGCGTAAGGACGAAGCTAAGCCTAACATAGTTTGGCTTCAAACGGGACTCCGGAAGAGAAGGGGACAACATAATTCATCATTCTTCAATTATTCTTCATTCACCAACTTACTTAAACTTCCAATTCTACATACCTATATATACTTAATCTATTGCTCGAAATATATCATTCTTAATCCGAAATCCAATTTCATTCTCAATCATAAGACAACGTACTCAAGGTTCTGCTACGAAAATCAAGCCAAGTCAACAACCCCTATCATCACATAAGCCTCCAACCATCCACGTGCATCACAATGTCAGACTTTCTACCAACCGTACCGATCTTTCAACCTCCTACCACCTCAGCTACAGAATACAAAATTACCACGCCTGCTACCACTGACCCCTCTCTAGCCCACGCATCCATATCTGAGAATCCGATTCTGCACCCCCGAAAATTCGATCTAGAAAGTGACACCGAACTATACCTCCATGAAAACCGCGTGATTCCTCGTCTATTCTTCTACGAGCCTGAAGGAGAATTGCAAATCTCGAGGTTGAAAATGTTGAAAGAGGGTTATTTTGTGGGACATCCGAGGACATTGGTTTTTAGTGTTGCTGGGGCCGTGGCTCCCGTAAAACGTGATGCTCTTCAGAATTTGGATCTCGGGTTTGGATTCCCTCCTGCTTCTTCTTCTTCGGGGTCCAGAGATACGGAGGAAAAGTATAGAGCAGCGTATTCGGTGCATTTTGGACCGAAATCTAGGTATAATACTACGGGTAAAGTGAAAGAGGCGGGGAGCAAACTAGAGATGCAGAAGATTGCCGAGTTGGCGGCTGCGTGTGAGGCATTGGAATTTGTGGAGTTGGAGTGTAAAATGAGGGTTAAGGGGTTTGAGGATGTTAGTGGAGAGATTGCTGCTGGAGGATTGGTGGTAGGTGTTACGAGTAGTACGAATTTGTGGTATGGCATTACGGAACATATTGTAGGTTTATTTTTCTTCCGTCTTGTGTGAAGATACGGGATGAGGAGGGTAAATAGAGGTTGTCATATCCGGTTAGGTACTTTGGTTACATTGATCAAGACCATACGTCAAGCCTTCCCTTCCCCACATATCCTCCCTCTCCCACCCCTTCAAAACCAATCCATCGAACACTTGACGGGTCAAAACTAACAACCCCACAGTACAAATGGAAACGTAACAAATTCCAAAACTCAAAAGGCAACAAAGTAGTAGGCGAAGACCTATGGAGAAGAATCGATGAATGCATGAATCGATTCGAATTCAACCAGACGAGAGTCGCTTGGTTGTTATGTGAAAAGGAGGATAATGAAGCCGAGGAGGCTGCTCAGAAAAAGGTTGACGAAACTCTGTGAGGGACGGACATTGGGTGCTGAGTGAGGACTTTTGTTTGAGCGAGGATAGAAAGGGGGATAGATGAATAGGGGGACCGGGAGGAAAGGGGTTGTGGTGGCGCAGATCATTGTGTATGTATGATGTGTATATAGGTACCTATGTATGTATATATTTATCACGGGACCTCAAAGCTTTCCTCGCGTAAAGTCCTGAATTTGGAAATTTTCAGATAGAATGATGTAGCGTTTAGGAAAATTCAATAAGTCATCGCAATCGTACAAGCGACCAAGTCACAAATAATATAAGCTATAAGAGACTTTCCTCCTAGATTACCCATCACCTAATTCCATATCTCGAAATCGTTTCCTTCAAATGCAGAGTCACCTTATACCCGCCATCATCATTTCCGACCAATCTTCCATTCCCCCATGCTATATATCATAAAGTAGGTAGGTAATCAATCTATTCCATCCACCAAAGTCAACAATTAATTTAAATGCGGCTTTCTGGTAGGTATGAAGATTTGTATTTCAGTGTTCGAGAGAAATTCCCGCGTCAAGCATGATAATGTTAGCTGTGGCGTTTGGGGAACTTGTTATTGGCATACGACGATTATTGTGAGTGTTCTTGATGAAATTTTGGGATGCGGAATGTTGTGGCTGAGAATAGGGATGTGAGTAAGATGGGAAGGAGGGGTAGTACATATTGTGCTGTAGAGCTGTGAAGGTTTTAAGGTTTTAAGGTAGGAAGTACTTGGTAGAATGAAACGAATTGAGAAGGTGATATAGGTAATAAAGTTGGTCAACAAGATAAATGCCTCAGTATCTAATAAAGTTTTACAACAATCGTTCCATCTGTCATTGTGAGTGATAGTTCGTTTCTTGAGGAGATATAGTTTCGGATAGAAAGGTCAAGTGCTGATGAAGGTACTTCCCACCCCTTGAACGCTACTGCGCTCCTGCTGTCTACTTTTTTGCTGAAAAGCTCAGCAGCAATCGACGGGCGTAAACAAAATGATGCGTAGAGATTTTGAGACAAGTTCCTGTACACAATCAACGATATCAAACACGATTTTGGATTCCCATCATTCAGTATCTCGAATTGACTTAACGCAACGCATTCAAGAAAACAATTAATTCTACCTCATCAGCAGCCACAAAAAACTATGCCTACTAGTGTACATGTCAACGGGACAGCCCCCGTCAGCCGCCGAGAAAAACTCTACCAAGAGCTCATTCACCGCAAAGCCGTTCTGACCGATTTTCAACACTTGCCCACTGTAGTATACGACTGGCAAACTGCCGAGGGGCCCTATTTTCCACACATATACCAAAGACTTGGCGATCACGAGGGAAGATCCAACGGGGTTCCCAAAAACCTCATGGAGATGAGAATAACACGGCATAGACATCTCATGGCGTCGAATTCGGCCATGCCGCTGATCGCCCCATATGAAGTATATTATCCCGGCGATCTCGTCTACAATGTGCGCTATACCATATCCGCCGCTCTGGAATATTTGAATCCCGACGGAACACAGATTGAACCGCTACTGCTTCATGGTCCGGATGCACATAGTGTTGTTATTAGGACTACGTATTCGACGCCTCCACGCACGGCGATTCATAATCTTCCGCATACGGCACCCGGAGGGTTGTATTCGTGGGATAATATTAGTACTAAAGCGGTGCAGACTATGTTGTATGCGCATGGGATGATGTTGTTTGGGGCTGATGGGAAGAGGAGGGAAGTGCCATTGGAGGATGAGGTTGTGAGGGAGTTGATGGGGGATGTTGAGGCGTGTGTGAGGGAGAGTGTTGGGGATACGTGGAGGCTTGGAGATAATACTATTGGGTGTGCATCGGAGGAAGATAAGTTAGATACGGAAATTGGTTTTCGATCGAGATGATGGAGAGGGATTGTTGTTGGTGGGGAATGTGATGGATATGTTTATGAGGGTTGAGAGAGGAGGTAACTGAAGTTTTGGTATGGTTATACCGCTTTGCTAGTAGTCAAGAAAATGGAGAGGAAGAGAGAATTCCCTGATACAGGTTTGATGACCAATGGCGAGAGAGCTTGAAAGTTGACGAAAGACACTCTTTAAATATTATTAAATTGTATTAATTCATTCGTGGAGGAAGGTCTACAATAGCTAGAAATAGGCATACAATATAACTAATGCTATTCCTTGGCAGCTATAGTGTTTCCCTACAAATGTTCTTTTTGACACCTGGCTCTCTTTTCTTGCCAGAATTTCCGCTCCAAAGCAAACCCGTACATTTAAGAGTTGCCAGAAACCAGGTCATTTTTTAACACCTCATCCAGATTCTTTCTCAAATATTTCTAAGTGAATGCAAATCGAAAACACAAATTTGTACTAGATAGTAGCTCTCTTTGCCAATCTGATAAAAGGACATCCAAAATCAGGCGACATGGTCGTCAAAACCTCCTGTGCGTCTTCATAACATTCATCCGAATCTTCCTCGTCGAGTTCTCCATGTACTAGTAATCCCGATTCCATGGCACTCTCTAGACTTCTGTGCTCTGCTGCACCCTCATTAATAACATTCAGTAGATCTTCGAAAGCACTCAGTAATTTATCTGTAATCCCAGATCTCTCTCGTAACCTGGTGACGAAATCCCCTAACACGTAATTTTTGTCAAATTTGATTCTCAGGTGGTTGGTAGAAGCAAGAATGGATACAGTATCCAAATCTGCATATTGAGCCACGAGTTCAAGAAGGTGGGGTCCCTTTAAGCGAGGACATTCGCTATATTCATACCAGCGATCGAGGAGTAATTGGAGGACATTATGGTTGTTATGTATTATGGCGGTGGTAAGTGGTGTACGACCAGCTTTTGATGTTACGTTGATGTTAGCTCCATATTCCAAGAGTAGCATCGCGTGACTGGCGCTGTTACCACGGGCAACTTGTAGTAGTGGCGTAACGCCATCGACATTGCTAGCTTCAATTTCTGCATTGAAATCGAGTAGAGTTTTAAGTAACAGAGGATCTGAAGCATTTCGCGCTGCGCAATTCAAAGGACTGCCGAATTTGATACCGTTTGGAAGGACAGGATCCGGATAAGCTCCAGCTTCGAGAAGTAGTCTAACACACACGGTATGATTCTGGTTCGATGCTAATGTAAGGGGTGTGTTTAGTTTGTGGTCTATGTTGTTGGGATCGGCGCCATAACTCAATAATGTTATCACTGAGCGTTCATCTCCTCGAGCTGCTGCCCATTCAAGCGCAGTACGGCCCGTTGCATCAGGAACATCAATTTGACTGGGATTTCGTAGGATCTCTTCTTCCAAATCTTTCATTGACAATCTCAGAACTATCTTGTGAATGGCGGCGAAATTTTGGTTCTCCACAAAATCACTACTGGCACCCAGCAGTCTCAGAATCTCAATGATCCTCTCGGATATTCCACCACGAAGAATAACATCACAAGCCTTGTCACTAGGGCATTCATCATTGAGAGATATTGGTCTAGAATAGAAGATTAGCCGGAACTCTTTGGGACTTTCTCCGCCTAAAGAATGAAACGGCATACTTATAATCAGCGTCGGCACCAGCAGACAATAAAAACCGGCAAGTCTCATACTGTTGACCATACAATGCCCACTGTGTTTGAGAATTAGTAAAAACAGGTTGTCAAGCGTAGTTTCAACTCACGCGAAGTAAAGAATATCCCCGAGTAGTACTAACATCACGAGGTGATGCCATTCCGCTCATGAACAAATTTTTCAGCCCTTCAATGTTACCTTCCAAAGCAAAACTGACACACTGGGCGGAGTCGGAAACTCGCCTTAGGGTGGTTAGAGACATTTGTGGTCCAACATTCGATTGGTATCCCAACTGGAGACGAATTATCTGAGACCAACAAAAGCCCAAGGGAAACCAGTATTCGAAGCTCATATGAGGGGATTGTGATTTCTCGCATGCGGCAGTATCACATTTCTGACTAAGAAGAGGCATTCCAGTATATCCGACGAAGAGTTGACCGAGGATGCTATCCATGAATCCAGGTGTGCTAGATTTTGTTTGGGAGTGACATGCACATAGACAGCCCGCACGACAAATGCTCGCGTATTGGGTGAGCCGAACGCCCACGGCTTCGGGACGACTGGGCATCTTTGGCGGTCTCTCTTTACTGACTGATCTAGATAAGCGTCTTCGAGACGCTGGAGGACCCATATTGTAAGAAGGGCCAACTTGAAGAAATTGACTGTTTTGGATCTGAGTTGACTGAGTCTTCAGCATTTCCTCAACTCGACTAATCCTCTCGTCAACCTGTTGATATGTGTGATTGAGTGTCTCCTCAACATTTTGATGGTGGGAGGTTATGTCACGAAGAAACTCTTCCCAGGAAGTGCTTTGTGCTTGGGCAGTTTGTTTAGTGACTGTAGACAATGTCTCGAGATCGAGACGGACACGCATCATCTCCCGCCTGGGATCCAGATTAGCTTGTGTGTCTATCTGCTCATTGCGGCTTCAAGATGCCACGAAGGAATTTATGCATACGAGTTAGAAGCCCCGAGAATAACATTGAAACTAGATTTGATTTCTCTTATCTCTTCCTGTAGACTTTGTATCTTGGATTGTTCTTTTTGCCAAAGGCGTATTTGGAAAATGATGGCTCCATTCTTGGTTATTAATGCGGTGAGACGGTCGATGATTGCCTTTAACTCCTTCAATTTCAGCTCCGCCCTCTGCAAAATGTTCGGAATAGATATCGTGTCTGTTCGTGAGATCTGAACAGAGGATTTTGATCGTTCTTCAACGACTCTACCGACCTGATAAAGAACTACTTCAATGTCGGATATTTCGTTGCTCAGTGCGTGGAGCCTACCAGGCAATTGCTTGCAAAGCGCTCGCAGTTCTGATAAGGCTGACCCAATCTGTCCTGCGAGCGTAGCAACAGCTATCACGCTCGCAGTTACTGACAGTGGATCCATATCGAAATCCCGTTTGACTCGTCCTTTGAATCATGTCAAGAAAGAAGGGATTTCAAGTGAGGCAGATCAATTCCATTGCAACCATTATCTCTTCACGGATAACAAGGTACAGTATTTTACGGTCACACCGGTTTAATAGGGTTGCAATGTGGTCTGAATCGGGGTTTGGGCTATCTATGCGACGACCAGATGGCGAGACTTTGATTTGGGGGCCATGATATGCATCTTTTAGAAATCGCCTCGGTATTTATGCAAGTTACCGGTATCTCAATCCAGATTGAGAAGAAAGCTACCTCCTGCATAAACCATACCCAATAATAATCAATTTGGAAACCTCCATTATATCCGGGGCGCCTGCAGAACCAATAAGCATTCAACTCATTGTCCTGGACGTCTCATATAAACCGATCGCGGACCAGCCAATAACCATTACCGAGACCTACGTATAGTTTGCATCTGCCTTCTGGATAAATCAAATAATGATTAAAATGCATCCAATTGCAAAAATGAGTGCAACGGAAGAATTCGGGAGAAAAACACGAGAGAAGCACTTTAGCTTCAACAAACAATATCACCCACTGAACCATGGCTCGTTCGGAGCATTTCCAAAAAGTGTGCGCGACCATCAGCGCATGTTGCAAGACGAGATAGAATCATACCCAGATACATTTTTACGATACACCTATCCTGAACTTCTAGGCGAGTCTCGCCGCGCCATTGCGCCTCTTCTTGGGGTGGAAGCAGACGAAGTTGTGTTCGTGTCAAACGCTACTACGGGCATCAATACTATTTTAAGAAATCTCGTGTATGAGACGGGTGATGTAGTTGTTTATTTCAGCACTATCTATGGGGCATGTGAGAAGACCCTTCAATCTATCTGTGACACCTCACATGTCGGATTGGAGATGTTTCGTGTTGAAATTGATTATCCTATCGAAGATGAGGATATTATCTCCAAATTCTCAGGTGCTGTTGAACAGTTGCGCAGCAATGGGAGGAATATCAAGGTAGCCATTTTTGATACGGTGGTAACTTTACCAGGCGTAACATTCCCCTGGGAAGGGATGGTGAAAGTATGTAAAGATCTAGGTGTATTAAGTCTCATCGATGGTGCACACGGAATCGGGCACATTGATCTCTCGCACTTAGGACAGGTTGGACCAGACTTTTTCGTCAGTAATTGTTATAAGTATGACTCAAACTCCAGCAAAGTATCATTTGCCTATAATTGACCCTGAACAGGTGGCTTTATGTTCCTCGTGGATGCGCTGTATTACATGTACCGATCCGAAACCAGGAACTCATACGAACCACGCTACCTACATCTAAATCTTTTCAGTTGGCTAAAGATTCTCCCAAACCAAACTACTTTGTTGAAATATTTCAAAAAGTTTCAACGATTGACCCCACCCCATACATCTGTATCCCTGAAGCATTGAGATTCCGACAAGGAGTCTGTGGTGGAGAAGAAAAAGTCCGCTCTTATTGTCGTACCATCGCGTTGACAGGAGGTCAAAGAATGGCGGAAATTCTCCACACGGAAATTTTGGAGAATCAATCAGGTTCCATAAACAAGTCTTGTTTCGTCAATGTCCGTTTGCCTTTACGGATTGTGCAGACTTCCGTCAAAGTTTCTGCTGAATCCGAGACTGAGCACTTCTCAATAAGTTCCTCAGATGCCCCTCACATTGCTAAGTGGATCGAAGAAACTTCCATCAAGGAATATGATACGATGATTATTACCAAGTATTATTCAGGGGGCTTATGGGCGAGAATTAGTGGTCAAATATATCTTGAAATGGCAGACTTCGAATGGGCAGCACAAAGACTGAAGGATCTCTGCTCAAGGGTCGAGCGAGGACATTGGAAGCGGGTTTGATCAAATGGAAAGCAGCATGGCAAGAGTAAGCGGTGAATTTTGGCTTTGGATCTCTGGTTAATATCTTTCAATTGTATGACTGCTGCACATGAGAATATATTGATAGCTACTCCTTAAGGACCAAAGCTGCGGTTCACATATAATCATTGCGTGGCAGCCAGAACAACAATTTCCTCGTTATTCCATACTAAAGAATCAGCCAAACAATATTGCATGCCATGTTTTTTATGACTTGCAAACATCGCCATTCCACGCCCTACAGTAATATCCCAATCAGGGAACCACACTCTACCAATAGATGCATGGCCACCTTCACAAACTCTGTTGATTTCCAATCCCTCATCGCTCTTGCGATCTTCCAGTTGCTGGTATGGTGATTTTTCCCATTTCTACAACCACAGGAATAACCGTGGAAAGTAGTCTGGCCTGCAGGTCTGACATCTGATACATAGTTGTGATAAATATGTACAGTTGCAAATTTGTATTGTATTACTAGGTAAGGAGAACTATTACATGAATGTCGCAAGCCACAAACAAATCCCGATACTAGAACATGCAAATATCATTAAGCAGTTCTCTTTTCCCCACTCATTTCACTTTCTTTCAAAGTGACTTGCTCTTCTTTTTTTCCGCATCCGCCTCTGCTAGAGCTTTCTCGATAGTCGTCCACTTCAAATCCGGATACCTATCATTATCAATAGGATCCAATTTTCCTTTTCCAGAGACCATATTTTCCACATACTGCATCCCCTGCCAAGGAGGGAATACCTGCGTTTCCTCTCCCCCGATCACGAACTTTAGGATCGAAATAAAAACCTGGAGGAATCCAACACTTCCTGTCCACATCGGTTTATACTCCTCACCACGGACCTTAGTGACAACAGCAGCCAAATCTTTTGCATTGACCGAGCTACCCGCAATACGTAAGAATTTTGGTGTTGGATTTGGATCCGCAGCTACAGCAGCTGTATAAGCAGCTACGTCTGGAATCATCGTGTAATCTAGTTTCTGATCCACGCTTCCAAAATAGAAAATTCGGTGCCATTTGTCGTTGATAACTGGCATTTGACCAGTTGTGAGAAGTTCCATGAAGCCACCATTCAACACACTCGTCCAGCGAATTCCCGATGCATCAAGCTTGGTGTGAAATTCACGACGAAGATCGAGATTTCTGTTGGATCCCGGCGTGCACTTGGTGAAATCCAAAGCGAAATCAGACGGAATAAATCGCTGTACATCCGCAGCAACAGAGGCCTCGAGGAGTCTTCCCTGAACACCTAGCATAACTTCTCTGAGACCCTGAAGTGCTGAAACGACTGTTGTGGCACCTGAGACTGCTTTTAGGATAGCTGGACTATCGTTCATGTCGACTTCTACTATATCGACGCCAGCGTCTTGTAATTTTTGGGTGCGGGATGCTGCGGTGCCGGGACGTACAAGAGCTTTGACAGCTACATTTCTCCTGCGTAGATCAAGGGCAATTTGAGAGCCCAGATTACCTGCTGCACCTGCAACGGCGACGAAGCTTGACATCTTATCGTGATGACTTCGGTAAAATAAAGGTATTCAATTGGGAAAACCTGTGAATTTTGCAATGATTGAAGCTAGCACACAATGAAAAATGAAAGCCGTTTCGAATCCGATCAAGAAAGATGAATTGAATATTAACTTGCCAGTAATCGAGAAATCGCAGAGCTTTTGAACACTTCAACCAGCAGCTTGAAAGCTAATTCCTAGTGGTTGGGTATCACCACATATGCGATGAAATACATGTTGATGAGCCCAGGATTACCAATCTCCAAACTCGCAAGTAACTAGAGAGCGAAGGCGCGAGATGGCAATATGCTACCGGATAAACTCCTGCGATCGATCCTACGCTAAACCCTTTTGAATTAAGGTTATATCTTATCTCTCGATTCCAGATGGAAAGATCAACAGAAATGTTCAATGTTTTATGCACTTTCGCGATTCACCCAATCACACATTCATACCTTATTCCAAAATGGGAAGAGTATGCTTCGGATCTAGTAGGTTTGTACAGTAGCATTGCGTGGTAGCAAACAAACCATTGATGGAAGATAAAAAGAAAAAAGAAAAGAAAAAAAGAATTAGATTTTGAAATAGAATCTTAAATCCACCATCTCCTCATGATCTGCATGCGCACAGTGCGTCAAAGACTCGGGATTCAAAGCAAGACGAAGCGAACACGTTTTGTTTTTGGCTAGCGCATATATAAGATAAAACTAAGCCATATGCAGAATGTATTCGATTGCTCTATTTTTCTCCTTGGCACAGCAGAACGGGATCTTATATCATCATCATCTCCGCACCTGTGGCACCGTTGACATGATTTATCATCACTTCACCTTATTCTTGTAGTACCTGAGATATGTGGTTTTACCGTGTGGAGAAAATCAACAAGTACCTAGCCACACTCTGTAAGATCACGCTATTGCGGATGCGGAACGTATTCGAACTCGGTCGGTCATGCTTTGCTGACGTCTATCGTCATGTTGTTTATGATGTTTGAAGGCAATGGCTATTATATTGATATTTTATTCGTTGATATGCCTGTATGATGAATTCTCCTCGTACAGAGAGATCGTTGTTACTGTCTAGAATCCCTTCTAGAGTACCATATGTAAATCTATATAAAGATAGGCTACAAGTAGATGTATGAACTTAGTCCAATCATCCAATTTTACCATTTGAAAAGACCATCTCCCAGACTTCCATTTCATTTTCTTCCTCACAAAATGTCTTCCACTACAATGATAGCGATTGTTGGCTTCACAGGCAGAATGGCTCGCTTGATCACCAAATTTATCCTTCAAGACCACCCGGATGCGATAATCCATGGTATTTGCCGCTCAGCTAGTAAGGTCGACGAAAACATACATTTGAATCCTCGGGTTAGACTCTTCGAGGCCAGTTCCATAGACATCTCTACCATTCGCACTGCTCTAGCGGGTACATCTGTATGCATATGTTGTTATCTCGGTGACAGCAAGCTTATGATCGATGGCCAAAAGATTCTTATCGATGCATGTATTGCAGAGAACGTTTCTCGCTACATCGCCTCTGATTATACTTTTGACTATCGACCTCTCAAACTCGGCGATTATCCCGCCAAGGATCCATCGAAACACATTCATCAGTATCTTCAGGAGAAAGAGCGAACGGAAAATATTAGGGGTGTTCATGTCCTTAACGGAGCATTCATGGAATTCGTATGGAGCCCTCTGCTTGGTTTTGTAAATGCTGAGGAGGGCAAGTTTCGATATTATGGTACAGGTGATGAACAGTTGGAGATGACTGCCATGAAAGATACTGCGAAATTTGTAGCCGCAGTTTCTATGGATCCAAAAGCTGTTGGGGCTGTAAAATGTAAGGCCATGGAATATTTGTTTCATCATTTTGAGTTCAAAGTCTTACTAATATTCTTTTCCAGATCGAGGAGACTCAAAGAGCATCAAGAAATTAGCTCATGTATACCGGGAAGCCTTTGGAGTTGAACCAAATATCCAGCGACTTGGCTCACTCCAAGATCTTCATGACAATATGACTTCTGCTTTCAAAGAAAACCCAAGGAACGGATTGGCTTGGATTGGCTTGTATGGCCAATACTGGATGTCTAACGAACAGACATTATTGGGTGATACAGATAATAGTCGTTACCCGGAAGTGGTGCCTACTACCGTGGAGGAGTTTCTAAAGGGGCACACGAAAGAAAGTCTGGGTGAAAGTACGAAATTCTGAGAATGAATCATATGAACTTCGAAAATTAAGTGCTTTTCTACACCGCTTTGCCTAATCTCTTTCATCTCTATTGCACCAACAGTTTCTTTCTTTTAAAACAGTAAATTTCTTGCACTTCGACGCGGGATCGACCCTCTGAGGGGAGACTTGGGAGTTTCCTTTTTCTAATTCCGAATAGCGCCGGTTTTTCCCAATAGCCTATCCTGTAAAAAAGGGGATTTCGATAGATAAACTTTTGAGAATTCCAGTATTCGTAAAGGGGTGGGTCTCTGGAGAATGGGTTGGTTGTTTTGGTAGATTCGGGAATGTAGATATAATACTTCGATTAAATTCGTTACAATAGAAGAATGTAAGAGATCAGAAGCCCTTCTTCTCCGATGGTTTTCTAGTGATTCGGAATGTTGGAAACACAGATTCCATATTGAAGGTGACAAATTTTTCATAAACTGATATTGTGGCAATCCATTTGTAGAGGTGCGTCGACGATGTTTGGAAGTGCACTATCCATCATATAGCCACATTGATTGGCTGGATAATGTAGTAGGCTACGTATCCTCTCATCGTGAATCCCATCCAAGTATGCACAAAGCCTACTACACACAGCAGTTGCAGGGTCCATAACCCACCAGTAGTATATTTGGCTCAATAGGGCACTCCAATAACATAAAATCAACAAAGCTCTGGGGTCTTTCTGATCCAGTAACTGCACAAAGGAATCGGGGAGTTCACCCACGAACGACATAAACGTGCAGATCGTATCTTGGCCAGTTCCGAGTCGTATCAGTTGACATAAGTGCCTCAAGGGCCCCTCATAAGAATCCTTGAACATCTTTGAATCCTGTTCCCCTTCAAATAGCCTATGAAGCGCTCTAGATATTTCTAGTGCCCACGGATTTACGTCGTTCGGCTTGTCATGATTGCAAGGCCCTTCGTTTAAGAATTTGGGATCGTGTTTCATATCTAGCAAAATACTGTCTTGGAGGTGGCAATTCATATCGCTCGTATTCCACAAGATTGATACCCCTCTCATAGCACGTAGCCAAGTAAGTCGACCGCTTCCGTCAGTGTCAGTATTTAGATCTGGCTGAATATTTCTAAAAGTCAGCATCGTGTGAAGGTAAGACGATGCGATGATTGCATCTGCATTCCTGGCATTCAAGCTCGTTCGAAGCTCTGATGAGTAGGACGATAAAGATTTAGAGTAATGCAACGTGAAAGCAATGCCATACTTTTTCTCTTTTGGGTGTAAATAATGAAGATGGCTTGCCGAAAAAGCAAGAATAGCATGCATTAGGTAAGGGGCTTTGAGAGAAATACTTAGCCCATGCTGCTGGATGATATGCTGAAACGATTGAGATCCAACCCAAGGAGTAGTGACTTCAGTGAAGTGGTCCAATAATTCAGAAGCATCACCTGGTTTGTAGATGGGGTCTTTAAAGTGCGAGCACGGAACCTCTGACTTTTCCAGGTACGAAATGATTTGGTCTCTGACCGATGGGCTACAAATCCGTCCGGTCGACATCTGTTGTTCCGATGGCAATCGGTCTCTCATGACTGACTTTTGTAGGACAAGATATTCACACTGAACTGCCCCGAGTAGTCGATCTGAACATTGTCCACAGCTTGGTTTTGCTTCATCACACTATCTCTTCTATCAGGCAAAATACAGACGATATAGCAGGTAACTACACACCTTTATTCTGCGTTTCCTGCAGTTATTGCAGCCGTTCCTAGACTTAGTATGCGATTTTCGAGGGCGATAATTTGAGTGGGGCTTCTGATTCGGAGTGATCGGGTGTGATACATGAGGTCGTTCACTGATCCATGAGAAAGTTTCCGTTTGCGCCATTATAAAAGCCTTTAGTACTCGAGTATCTCGGTTTTGATAACACTACACGAGAAAGTGTATCACGACTGTTAAGGTTTGAGTCTTGGTTGAATGATATTTTTGAGGGAAAACCTGGGATTGGGACCACAATGTAATGCCGCCAAGTATCTTCCTGTAATAGTTCCCATTGACTGACTTGTTTGTATCAAATATTACCTCTATTGAGTGTTAGTGTTTGGTGGTCCGAGGTTGGTCTTGTATCCTCTTAATATCTTACATACTTCGCATACATACCTAGTTCGTAGGTGCATAATACACTAGACCCCCTTTATATTGGTCCGTGCTCATCACATAATACTGCGCCGCATGCTTCAATGACCCACCGGTACTCTATTCATCATAGTAACTTCATCAGTTTCTTTACGTTCATTGCTTTTCATGGCATCTTCAGATTCAATATTCCCTCCATAACCATGTAGTGCTCATTTTCTAAGTACACAAATATGTTATCGAGAGGGAAACCAAACCAGCGATCAAGGAAATACGGCGTGCACCCAGGCTTACACAGTTCCAGTGTCATGATTGGTGAGATGACATTGATACCCATGAGATGCTAAGTCTTTAATGCTCCTTTACGTATAGATCCAGAAAGAGCAGGGGAAACAAGGCAGCAGCAGTGAATCTAAGATGTTCACCTTACTTTCGCAGCTCAATATTAAGGGGAGAAGACTTTTAAAAAAAATCACAATGTTACCATCTATAGCAACCATAATGTCTGCACCGTTGCAGGCTAAATCACCAAGAGTGCGGATCGCTGCTGTACCTAGATCAAGGACAGGCTGCAAATCATGTCTGTTCAACAATCTAATCAGATGTTCTCTTATGCATAGCTGACCAGTCATTCTATGCAAGTAAGTCCCACTTCTATAACTTCATGTTCACGTTATTCCACAATTTTGCAGACATTTTGATGTTATAGTCTTGGATAGATCCCGTCATGTTAAATGCGACGAGTCAAAACCTATATGTCAAAAATGCCTAGTGGGCGGATTAGATTGTATTTATCAATCGCTTGTCGGTCCAAGAAATGGAACACTTCACAGAAAGATAGCACAAAAAAGAAAAATTTTAGCTAACTCGAGAATGGCTCGTGAGTTTTGAATTCAATAACTTGTCCCTGAAATCTAATGAGTTAATAGCGAAATGTTATTCTTTTACAACATCTCTAACGTTAACAAACGTAATCATTCGACCATGAGGCTCAATATCAATACTTTGAGTTCTTCAAGAATAAAAATGCATCGCTTCTTTCAGAATACTTCGAAACGGATTTCTGGGAGCGACTTGTACTTCAATTGTGCCACCAAGAGGAATTTGTCAAACATGCTGTCGTCGCTTTAGGTTCACTTGCGAGAAACATGGAAGTGGATTTCGATTCTCCGTTATCTAACAACACCCGACATACAGCTCCCTCTGAGTATTATCTGTTCGCTTTGAGAGAGTATTCAAAATTTCTACGTCTGGCAAGACGGAACACAAATAAAGTTGTGGAATCAGATAGATTACAAAGTATACTTGTCTCATGTGTCTTGACCAGTATTTTCGAGTTGTATCAAGGTCGTCAAGAAGCTTCTATCAAAACCGTCGTATCAGGCCTCAAAATTATATCTAGTGTTCGAGAACAACATGTGCTCGAAAATACACATTCAATATGGTCACTTGGAATCGATATCGATCTTCTTGCACTGTTCATCCGTTGGGGGCAAGGCTTTTTATTATTCATGCCATCTCAAACACCCTTCGCACCTCATGGATTACTGCAAAATCTCGAGGATACTTTGTTCCTCGAAAACATGCTTGTAGAGTTCAGCTCCCTCAAACAAGCGCGCCTCTACTTTGATATTCTCAATCGACATGTCTTAAACTGGTACGCAGATTGCAATTACCAATGTCCAGGAGAACGAGATCATCCAACCGAAGTTGATCGTCTATGTCCAAATTCAAAGCCAACGATATACTCAGAAGATGGCTTGGCCTATGGAGCAGCTATCGATAGATGGTCGAGAGCATTCACTTGTATTTTTAAGTCTAGTCGTTCACGTTCTCGATCATCATCACCTCACCAAATTTCAACAGCGTTGATGATCAAACAAATCTGCGTGCGTCTTGGTCTCCCACAGATCACAATTAGTGAGCATCAGATCACAGCTTTATGCGCTGCGCTACTTGAGTTTGGAGTCGAGATTCTGGAGCCGAATAACAAGAACCAAGTTTTCAAGTGGGTAGATGACGATTTAGTAACAGGTCTGTTTCTCGTAAACCAAAGATGTCCCGATGAGAAGATGAGAAGCAGAGCATTGGAGCTGCTGTGGAACCATGCGAGGCGGGGGAATCTTTACGAACATTCTAGTGGAGACAATTCCTCGCTCGAAGTTGGGCCTGGAAAAGAATCCTTCGGAAGACACACGATGGGAGCTTCGTAATATAATCACTGGCCACTTGAGTTGCTGGAGTGGTCGGTAAGGCGACGACGAAAGAATTTCAGGCCGATTGGTGAATGGACCTGTTCCGGGATTCTATGCAAATACAACATACCAAAATGATAGTCACAATGACCACGGATCGTGGCACAAATAATACAATCTATCTCAGGATATATTGAAAATTTTTCGTTTCCCAGATTTGTATAACTTTCCAGAACAATAATTAACCTTTCAAGAGATGTAAGCGACCTTCTGAAGTTGAATATAATCCAGCTTCTGCTTTGAAATTAATTCTTTCATTTCAAGGACAGCAAAATACTTCGACTCAATTGAAATGGCCTCTTCACCACATCCTCGGTGGCTCAATTAAGCAAGCATTAAACAATCTTTACAAGTAAAACATTCCTCCCTCTAGTTATACTGCATATTCATACAATCAACTTCGGTATAGAACAAACCATAAAATAAAATAAATTAGGCCCATAACGCCATCCTTCACTTGCTTGAATACCTCTGTGGTCTTTCAAAGGCCGCACCTTCACACGATAAGCGCCATAACAATTCGCGAGTCTCCAAACTTGCCATACAATACAACTGTCCCGAGAGAGACTATTCATTTCCGGTTTCATCACCTTCAATTCCAAGCCTCTTCCAATTTATCATCAGTAATTATCTCTGCACTCTTATGATTAATATACTCCGTTGGTCTGAACACGTAACCCGGATGAACAACCGACAATGCGTAACCCGCAATCGCCACAGTTCTACGAAGTAGTCAGTACAATCCTCACACCACAAAATCAGAATAATAAACTTACATTCCCTCCAAGCAAATAAATCCAATCTCATTCTTCATAAAGCTCATTCCCCATCCTTGCCCCAAAACAGCCATTTTGTAGATAGTACTGATGCCGACTGCCAAAAATGTTGTTGGAAGTGCAATATAGAAATACATAAACCGTCTCGAGGCGCGTGTGTTTTCTGCATACGCATTTAGTTGTTCGGGGTAGGCACGAACTTGGATTTTATAATCTGCATGCAAAACACCAAAACAAATCATCGAAAGCAATTGGAAGCTCAAGCCTGCGATGACGATGTTGGAACCAGTAGAGAGATAGAAGGGTGGGGTAAAGCCGACTGCAGAAGTGCTTTGGAGGAGACATCCGGAGGTGAGGAGAATAAAGGGGAGAAGTGTGACGGAGGTGGAGATGAGAGGGTAGGTGGCGGGATTGATGCGGGAGAGAGTGATGCTGTAGGTTTCGATTATGTTTGTGTAGCAGAGGAATACTCCGTTGAGGAAGAATAGGGGGCCAACTGTGAGAAAGAGATTTTGGAGAGTAAGCCTGAATAATTGTTAGTCTCATCTGGATAGATTCAACGGATGAATATCTTACCCAACATGACTCCAGGGACTAGATGCCATCATTACTCTCCCAGCATACCCAATTACTTCGCACATACTCCCCAGTATGAATGTAGCTGTGAATCCCCATGACTGATATCTGAAACCTTGTATCAACTGTGCGATCGTAATGATGCAGAAAATGGCCAACAAAGTAGCGTTAGCTGGAAGGGATGGTGCGTATCCAAATGGTGTTGCTGAGACGGGGCATTCATCTGAAACTTTCAGACAATTTGCGTAATAAGACATGACTTCAGACGTTTTTCCACAAATTTAAATAGAATTCTTTTTGAAGAAAGTAAATATGGAATAATGAAAGAATGTTACTTCAAAATGAAGGGTCGAAGATGACTTGTATTCATTCATAACTTGGCGGCACAGGACTTTTTACTCCATCCCAACATTTTGGCGGGAGCGAAATTATGTACACATTCAACTTATAGGTCGGATTGAAGCCTCAACCAACTGGTACTTCAGCCCCTTGGTTGATGAGGAGAAAGGTTACTGGGCCCTTCCCGCCTACGAATCATCATTCTGTCGACCGAATCGTGTTGAAGGAGCGGTGATTGATTGCACAGCATTTGCGATTGATATGAAGTGATGGCCGAAAGGAATGCAAAGGCCACGCAAGGTATAAATGTTCTAAATTGCACAACTGGAGGCTTCAATCGACACAAAAGTAACTCTTCAGAGATTTTCAAGAATATAAAGCTCTATGGAAGCGGATTATGTCTGTTTGTGGCCCTAAAACGATTCCTGCAAGAAATTTCCCAGGTTTGAATCGGAGCGCAACCCAAAGAATTGAAAGTCTGGTATGCATCTCCTATGAAGACGGCTGGGATGAGAATGTATTGAGCAAGGACCATATGTTGGATATTTTACCGCGCAAGACGACGATCTATGTGGTCGGCGGTTCGCATCCTTCAGCTCGACCCCATTCTTCAAGAACGCAAGGACGCTAGTTTGGTATACAAACTCTTATATAGCTCACTATGCAGTAACCCGAAGATTCCACTTAGTTATAGAAGTATAACACTTTGGTAATAACTTTCCATGTTCGCATTGATAGCATAATAAAAAACAACACTCAGAATGATGCATATACAAATGACTATTCGTATAGGCACGTAGTTTGTTTGGACGAGGTTTCTTGCCTCTCGAGCGCTTATGGATGAGTTTTGGGATACTCCTACCGCTAGGAATCCATGAGGTCAAAAGGAATGTGTCCTAGAGTAACATCTAAGCGCTCATGCAACCTGCTCTGGGTGAGCAACATAACATGTTACAAAGATATCACATGGAGATTAGTAAAATTTATTCAACTACCAGACATTATCTACGCCAGAGTTCTGCTCAAAATTCAAGCATCTCTAAAAGTGAAGATGAGTGGTGAATTAAGTCGGAATATGGGCGAAAGACACCCCGAAGAAGCGTCGAAATTGTTGAAAGATAGGATCATTTATCATTACGACGTCTGCGCTGAATACTATTATTCCCTTTGGTAAGTCTTCTTGTGTCGCCTTTGATATTCATACCTTTGTAATGTTTCCAAGATTCACTCAGACTTACAGAAACAGGGGCGAACATATCCACCACGGATACTTCCTCACTCCCACTGATACAAAAGAAATTGCTCAAATACAACAAATAGAACTCTTAGTTCGCCAATCGAAGCTCGAACCGGGAAGTAAAGTGCTGGATGTTGGATGTGGACTCGGTGGTACATCTCGATATCTAGCACGAGAATTAGGTTGTGAGGTGATAGGAATCGCATTAAGTGACGCAGAGATAAGGATTGCGAGACGAGTGAGTATAGGAGAGGCAGATGGCGGAGACGAGGATGAAGATGGCTTCATTAGGCTAGGGAAAGGAAAAGTAAAATTCATGGCTTTAGACGCTGAGATGATTGAAGAAACTTTTGGGAATAAAACCACGAAAACGTTTGACTGTGTATGGATTTCGGATGCAATAAGCCATCTTCCAGACAAGAGAAAGTTCGTCAGTGACGTAGCAAGGCTGTTGGATATTGGAGGAAAGCTGGTGCTTGCGGATTGGTTTGCAGTTGATTCTTGTATAAAAGATGGTTTGAAGTCTAAGCAGCAATATGATGACCTGACAGCTATTGAAAGTAAGATATCTTTAGACGTTACGAATGAATTTGATGCTAATCTTGGTGATTTCAAGATGGCATGATGCTTCCTCCACTCATCAGTCAAGAAGCATTCGTGCGCTTAGCTGGGATGAAGGGGTTAAGTCTTTTGGTCGAACCACTCGAGATTAGTGAAAAGGTGTCGAGGACATGGTAAGCAATAGTCTGAGTTTTATTCGTGAATTTGCTGATAAGGATGTTAGGGATATATCGTGGTCCTTAATTACAAAGCCAAAATTATGGCTTTTTGCTCTTTCGCAAGGAAGAGAAGGGCTAGCGTTTGTAGGCGCGCTGAGGGCGACGAGAAGGGCATATTCGAACCAGACATTTCAATATGCTGTTTTAGTTTTTGGGAAGTAATAAAACAGAATAGTGTATATCTTGTTGTAAAGTGGTCTTAGTCAAATGAGCGGTGTGTACTATCTTCATAGACGTTATCTATCCCAAAGCCCACGTTGGTCATTGAATTCAGGCGGGTTCCCTGCATTCGCAAAACTGCAGTATAACCAACTGGGATGAAGATTTGCCAGCTACAACTCCCCTCGTCTTGTACACCATCAACATCATTTTGATGGATATTATGATCGTGATTTGGGAACATTGACATAAACAACATAGAATGTTAATGCCTGAGCCGGGTTTCGTAAGCCGTCTGGAAAGATGCAAGTATCTTGCTCGGAACTTGGGTTCAAAATATTTCTCTCACTTGGCCCCTTGAGTCAATCACAAATACGCATCACACGGAGCTTCGGCTTGCTGCTCTGGGCAATCTCCGTAAGTAGCAGTTTTCATCTATCGTCAAAGATATACCAGGAAGGATAATAGATCGAGTTATCAAATAAAAATAAGACTCAATTAAAGATAGATATGAGGCCAAGAAACTATAAGTAGGGAAGTGCGAAAGAAAACGAGAAAGTGCTCAAGTGGAAAATTAAACTAAGAACGGGTATGGCAAGAACGTGGGGATCGATACTTTCTTCACTAGCAATATTAGAACTTAGTCGCAGTGGAGAAGAACGCGGACTGTGGATCAAGCTTAAGCTTAAACTTTAATGGCAAACATGCATTTTCCAAAGACGGACATTCAATCCAATGTAAGAGTGCAAAGATCTTGAATTTGTGCCCAAATTCTATATAAAAATCGTCCAACCAAATAGAAGGCCCTAGTGCTTTCTGTGAATGAAGTGAATAAAAGAGCAATATGTGACAAAATCATTTCTTTGTCCCCGTTCTTAAATAACAGCTGCCAACAGTCTCAAATGCCTATCTCATGAACATGGCATTCATAACCACATTAACATCATTGCGCCGGCAGTACTCCCTAATGAACATCCAAAGGCAAAATCATAAACAAAGGCTTTCCCATACCAATCCACCGGCCAAATGATGGTCTTTCGCATCCTTCCTTTTATATAAATCATCACTTAAATTTTGCACCTACTCGCCAGCTAATTTCTTGCCTTTCTTTTGTGTGGCCGGATGAGTTGTAGGATCCGACATGTTGAGGCCGATCTGCTCATGACGTTCGGGGGTTTCCACCCAAGTGTCGAGAGGTGTAGAGCCACTGGTATTGGCGGGGAAAATCGAATGTGCAAATTGGTGCTGCAACCCGACCGAGTCGTTTTGGCTTGTGAGGATGTTGTTATCCCCATTATAATCAACGGAGGTAGTTGGAGTCGGAATAAAGATCGAGGACTGTGACATCGATTCGGAGGATGGGACGATATAGTGCGGTCTCATGAAGGTTTCCGCATCTGCATACGAGCCAGCAACACAAGTACTGTCGGGTAGACGATGGTCAAAAGAATACCGTGCCGACGTATTCACAAATTTGTTGTGTTTGTCGCTCTTCGCTGTCGCAAAGTTGCAACTGGTAGAGAGTTCATCGACCAAGTCTGAAGCAAGCTCTTCGGCGATGTCACCAGAGTATTGGTTCATAGAAATTGCATCGCCTTGGAAAATCCACTCGCACGGATTGTTCGACGGCACGTTGATGCCTGTGAGGTCAGAAATCGATGTTTGGAAAGAGTCTGACATTCTGATTGAGGCAACTAGGCAGCAAAGTTAGTCTCTGAGAGTCATTGGCAAATGAATGAAGTGGTTGATGATGAACATACACTTTTGATGATTGGAAAGGAGGTCAGTAAATCTATAGTAATGATAAGAATGGTGAGTCTGCTTTTTATAACAATCAATCCTGCAAGCTACTTTCGATTGAATAGTAGAGCTTGTTGAAGGTATGTCAAATGATTGTCAGTCTAAGAGGGGTGGGTGGTGATTCTCGGACAACGGGGAAAGACACTAGGAGTCTACAATTTACCTACCCAACCTACCTCATTCATTTCGTTACTTACCTCACGCTCTCAGTACAGCACACCAATCAATCACCGGTAGCGTCTGTCGCTTGCCAAAAATATCATTGTAAACGCGTCCGAATCCTTGATAGTATCAAGTCACGGGGAGTGACTTTGAAAAGGGCGACTTCGGTGGTATTGTACAGATTCTCTTAATCAATCCGCTTGGCACGCCCTAGACAGGTTCTTCTTTGATCCATTAGAGTAATGTAGAGTGCCCTGGCCTAGAGCCAATCAGACCATTTGGTTCGTCTGAATCCTTCGTCGCGATCGATTGTTGCATATGATTAGTCGTGGCTGCATGAACAGCTCAATGCCTCAAAAGCGGTCATCATTGAGCCGAACAAGCACAAGACAAGAATGAAAAGTGTGATTTTTCACAGAGAGCGGTCGCCCCTAAGAGAAAACAGAAAGTTCAGAGAGAGCGAGCCCTTATATCAATTACTCTCAAACCTTGCTTTCCAACAGTGGGTAGGATGCGACATAGCCATCATGCAAGGATTCAGCGCGAATTTGCATGGAGGACAGTAACCCTTGCGACCGACACGATGATAACATTTGATTCGATATCAGAAATGATAAGACGGATCGTATGACCATTTTTGCAGAAGCACCCGAAGATGGGCGCAAACAATGGAGGTAAGATCATTGAGGCAGAACGAGGGACTCGTATAGCACTCGTTCCTGATGGCCAATTGAAAAAATCATGTTGCAATTCGACTCGCTTTTAATGCATTGCTGCCATCCTGCATGTGATGGATGTTACTTTTTCGTCTAATCGCCCTTTAGCCCCCAACTGTCAGACCACATTTTGACAAGGAACATTGGTGAGTCAAATAAATGATACCCTGGATATGCCGTAGAACTTCGAGCGTTTGATGTGAAAAAGAGCGTCATCCTATTCAAGTTATTCTTCTTATGACTGGATCGAGAATGCTGCAATCTTACAAGCACATATTGGTGATCATTACACATGTGCTCTGTATGTCAATGTAGCCCGGAAAGGCTCATGATCATACCCGTCTCGCGCCATTGCAAGGTAGCAATGCTCTTTGCTTTACCAATCATTGCCAAATTCCGCATTCATTCATATGATATGACAGATCCTTTGCAAAGGGAAATCTCTTTGCTGGACATCGTCGATATTGTGGCGGAAGTTCGGGAGCTTCTACCATGCACGTGATCTAAGGTTAACCACTTCGGAAATTATCATTTAATCTCCTTAGTCCCGATAGCCAAGAATTCTTTTGCCCCTTTTCTCGTCGCTGCCAAGATAATACATCTTCTTTTTACTTTCTCTATGCTATAAGAAGCTTTTACCGTCGGTCAAATGATAAATTCGGATCATGACAAATTCTCCGTCTGTTTGTCCAGTCCGAATCAATTAGGCTAGGCATAGGTGATTGTAGCGCATCCAGCGCTTCGAGAAGCTTGCTCTTCGATGATCATCATTATGACGAAAATCGGACATTGAACCATACAACGTGTAAGTCTTTCATTGTGAAGTCACATAATCTGGCACGAGACTCAGTACCTTCTGTATCGCGTTGCAGCCTTTCAGTCACCTTCCCAATCAACAAAATGACTAGTATGTCGATTCCTCCGCCTTGGCGAGCGGCTTGCAAGACTTTATATGAAATTCCACAAGAATGGTGGGTTTTAGTGTGGTTTCATACACGTGATGATCATCGCGGACAAATCTTGGCCTCCAACCAGAAAGCATATAGATATGTTCTAGATTCATGCTAAATGGAAGATTTAAGGGACTGATTCAAGCCTACTTTAAATTGATGGTTCAAAAAAAGCTTCTCTAGCAAAATTCACCATTCGTGGAAAATTCAAACTTGTCAATATGAGGGAAGTGCCGACCCGCTGCCAAGCTGAAATCTGGGGATATGGAGTTGAAACATAGAGGAATCCCCATCACTGCAGATTAATCTTCATCTGAAGATTGTGGAGATAATATCTAGTGCCGGTGTGTTGAACATCTGGGGCCTATGAGCTGCTGCTTTCTGGTAAATTATGGATGATCCTCCCAACGTTCCTGCCTGAGTTTATATTGATTCGCGGAGAACCAGTGTACATATTTATTCCGGCCCATGACAAATTGATTTCGCCCATTGTTCGCATGACGAAAATATGATTTCGGGAGATTGCTATGCTTGGCCTCGAGGACTTTATAAAGACGGGTGTCCTCAAGACCTCACCTTGCCAAGTTTGACATCCATCCATTTCACTTGATCGTCTCATCATGCATAAGAACTCTCAGATCTCTGGGCTTTTAGCCCTCACCTTGGCAGGTGCTTGCACTGCCCAGACAGCCTGTACTGCTTCGGTGTATTCCCAAATCGCTCCTTGTGTTGCGTCTTCTACGGCCATTGTTTTGAACAACGTGTTTGCGCCATCAGGTAGCAGTATTGACCTTACCAAAGTTAAGGCCGGTACAACAATCACCTTCGCTGGAAAAACCACATTTGGATTTACCAATGAAAGTAGCTTCGAACCAATAAAGTTGGGGGGTTCTGGAATCACCGTTACCGCCGAGCCTGATGCAATTATCGATGGCAATGGCCAAGCTTACTGGGATGGTCTTGGTTCAAACGGTGGTGTGCCAAAGTAAGTTTCCACAGCAATTCAATGGCCATGCAGCTAACAATGAATTTAGGCCAAACCATTTCATTGCAGCCTCGAAATTGATCGGGGGTTCCATCATTGAGAATCTTTACATTCAAAACTGGCCCGTCCATCTTTTCACTATCACCGGTGCTGTTGGACTGACCATTCAAAATCTGGTCCTCAACAACACAGCAGGAGACGCACCAAATGCAGCAAGTGGTACATTGGCCGCAGCACATAATTCAGATGGATTTGATGTCAGCTCATCCAGCAACACAATAATCAAGAATACACAAGTTTTCAATCAGGATGATTGTGTAGCAGTCACGAGCGGAAACAACATCACCATTGATGGATTACATTGCTCAGGTGGTCATGGTCTCTCCATCGGATCTGTTGGTGGAAAGAGTAACAACAATGTTACAAATATCACAGTAAGTTATATTTACTTCTTTGTTAAAGAACTTACTTACTCATTTACTTTCAGTTCAAAAACAGCGAATTAGTCAATTCCAGCAACGGAGCTCGCATCAAGTCAAATTCCGGAACCACCGGTTTCATCTCCAACATCACATACAGCAATATCAAGCTCACCAATATTGATACTTATGGAATCGATGTACAACAAGATTATCTTAACGGAGGCCCAACAGGAAAGCCAACTAACGGTGTCAAAATTGAGAACATTCTATTTGAAAATGTGGTTGGAACAGCTGCAGCCAGTGCTAGAAACTACTATGTGCTTTGTGGCGAGGGAAGCTGTAGCAATATCAAGTTCTCTGGTGTTAAGATCACAGGAGGTGCAAAAAACAGCACCTGTAACTACCCAGCAACTGGCTGCCCCGCATAAATATACATGGGGAGCGAGGAGAAGTGAGAGAATAAGGGTCGTCTGAAGCAGGAGGAAAGAGGAGGAAGGAGGATAAAAGATGTATATACTTGGGCACCGTTGTTTGTATATAAAATTAAAATATTCGCAGAAATTCTATTCAATAATCACAGATGTGTATAATTGATGCACTAACATATTGTGGATCGGCTGCTTTAAGGCTCACATGAACCAAGGAATCATCAAGTCAGGTATCTGTCAATTCTCAGTGTATATCGTAATCTAAGGTCAAGTCATACTTTCAATCATATCCACTATACACCGTGTATATTCGTGTGTACCGAGCAATCGACATGACAACGGCACTTAATAACCCACTCGAAGATATCAGACGACCCATTTTTTCGACTCTAAAGCGACAAAGGGTGGCAGGCTATGGTTTCAAGATATGGGGTTTTGGTCAAGGAACGTCACTTTGGACCGAACGTCGTCCGTTAACATAAACACGATAAGGGTCAAAAGACCCTGAAATAGTAGAACAAATTGAGCTGATTGAGCGGTGAATTTGTCAGAATACCTGAATCCTGCGGCCCTAAATGAGGGGCCATCCCATCCTCATAGTGTAGCGGGGCTCGGACACCCATAACTCCACAAGATTCCATGGGGAAATATTCCCGCGCCGACTGCCATCTTCCGCATAAACGTTGCTTGTCGTGACATCGCAGCCCGCATGTAATATCATGCAAAAAACTACACGTTTTTATATGCAACACGCAGGAGAATCGTAATAATGAGCGGCACGGCGTTGACTACCCCTTTCCGTAAACGATCTGTGACTTGCGTCCGAAGCTTACGTCGGTCGACCCGGTCGGTCATGCCCGACTCGTGTGTCTCAAAATGAACAAAAAGGCAAAATCTTTCCTCTGCTGAAGAATTTTCGGGCATAGCATACCTTAAAAAGTAGTATGCCCGTACGGAAACGGAAACTTTAAGAGCCACTTTACCTGTGCGGAGAAAAGCCCCGAGATCAACAAATTTCAAAATAGCTCAAGCCCGTCTCAAACCGAGCCCTACAAATCACAATCCCTATGAACTTGCTTCGTTTATGAGCTTCGATTTTGATACCTAGAAAAAGAGTTCTCAACAACGCGATTGCGACCGTATACGGTTGCTCGCGCCGAAGTGCCTTTGCTTCATAGTCCACTCGGTTGTCTCAACATTGGCCGTCTCTGTGCATCTTGATCCTAATAGAATATCCTTTTTCGATAAGATTCTCCGATGTCAATGCACGCATCTAGGAATCGCGCATCTGCATCTTCTTTCGGTTCGTCTCCGATGACATACAGCAAAAGCTCCTGTAAGGATACCGGTTTTTGTAGTCTTATTTCGAGACACTCGATCAATTCTGACCCAACCGTAATTTGATTCCGATTGGTCCCAATCAAATCACATTTTCGTGATATCTTTGGTGAAAATCAATCAAAATATCAATATACTGTTAGGTGATGACCCAAATCCTGATGATTCTCCTGGTCTAATAAGGATGCAAGTAATCCAGAGATCTCAAAATATAAGGATACAGATCATTCTCAAGTACCCAATGTCCTTGCAGAAAGGTTTTGCTGTAGTTCATGCTGGACCTCGATGCTGAGCCTTATAAGAATAGGGATAAGCCTTTGCTTTCGGGAAAATCCTAGAACGGCATGTCGGTACTTTCGGCATGGTAACCCAAATAGGAAGCAAGGCCATCTCGGTGAGGCAAGAAGATCGTCCGTGAGCCTGCCTCGGCTCACGGTTATTGGTGAACCTTGAGTATTTGAACCATTTTGTCATCAAACACAGCAACGTTTGGAGGTTTAAGCAAACGGCATCGGAAGACATACGCAAGTTTGGAAAAAGCGCCTTGAGATTTTTGTGGATTTGAGTGAAGATTGCAACGCGATTGCTTCGGAGAAATTCATTGATCCGGGAGAAGAAGCATCGAAATACGACGTGAGACAGTACCTGGATGCCCTTGGTTGCGGTGTAGTGTTTATTATAGATTTGGATTGCATTGGATCGGTCCGCATTGCAGTAAGCCCACATCACGTCAAGCGTTTGATCTAGAAACGAAAAGAGACACAATCTTGCTCGGAGCGATATCTCGGAAGAAAAAGAAACGATTCGCGCATATATAAGAGACCGGCTGGATTATCAAAATGGACGGTCAAAAGATCAAACGCTCAAAGAACATAATGGCTCAATCAACATATCAATCAGTGGTTTTAGCAAAGCGTCCTACTGGACAAATCGTTCCAGGAGAGACTTTCGAGAAGAAGGAGAATCAAATGGTAACGGAGGCAGATCTCAAGGATGATCAAGTCTTGGTTGAAGTGTTATATCTTTCATTGGATCCGGCCATGAGAGGTTGGTTAAACGGTACGTACCAACAGTTATATCATTCCTCTATTACCCTATTAGCCAGTGATGAATGATGTGGAAGGGACCATTATTGACACACCCCGCTACCGCACGTGATAATTGCTGACTTTGAATGCTGGAATAGACAGAAGATCATATGTTCCACCTGTACAAATTGGTGAAGTCATGCGTGGTGTTTCCATTGGAAAGGTTATCGCCAGCAAATCATCGAAATTCAATGTCGGTGACTACGCATCCGGCATTACAGGGTGGAAAGAAGTAGCTATCATGGCTTCCAAAGACCTTACACCTATTGATCTTCCACCCAACGGCAAGCTCACCGATGCCCTTGGTGTTCTCGGAATGACTGGTCTTACCGCCTACTTCGGAATTCTCGAAGTTGGAAAAATCAAGGCTGGAGATTTCGTTGTAGTATCTGGTGCCGCTGGTGCTACTGGAAGTGTTGTTTGTCAAATTGCTAAGCTTAAGGGAGCCAAGGTTTTGGGTCTTGCTGGAAGTGATGACAAGGTACAATGGTTGAAGGAATTGGGTTGTGATGATGCTTTGAACTATAAGGATAAGGATTTCCCATCTAAGTTCAAGGCTGCTACACCAAACTTCATTGATGTATTCTTTGACAATGTCGGAGGAGAGATTTTGGAGCTTGCTCTCAGCAGAGCTAAGCCATTCTCAACTTTCGTTATGTGTGGTGCTATCAGTCAATATAACTCTGATACTCCAGTTGGACCAAAGGTATATTATACTCTCTTCAAATATTGCTTGCCGCACTTGCTGACCAAAGTTAGAACTTCTCAATGATCATCGCAATGAGAATTCGTCTTCAAGGTTTCATCGTCTTCGATTATGCATCCAAGTATGCTGAAGCCCGTAAAGAGATGTCTCAATGGTTGGCAGAAGGCAAACTCCAAAGAAAGGAGACTATTATCAAGGGTGGACTTGGAGTTGCCGAAAAAGCTTTAATGGAGTTGTATCAAGGTGTTAATACTGGTAAGCTCCCGTCCTATCTCAGTGCTTGTAAAACTTTTTACTGACAATCTATAGGTAAATTATTGGTCGAGATTAAGGAAGATAGTTCTATTGGCTCCCGTTTGTAAGAGATACCTAGATAGATTAATGCATGAATGATGAAATATACACACTTTATATCCCACGAGTTCCCTTCAAGGCGTTGTTTAAGACGTCTTATTCTGTTTCACGGTCAGTGTTGATTCTGTGAAAAATACATTACATAGTTGCAATGAACTCTCAAATGCGCAACTAGATTTGCAATGTGCATTCATAAACTTCGTGCTCTAACATTGATCAGACGCTTAGGAAACCATGCAATTTCCACAACCCAAACTTACAATTCATGAGGCTCGAACGTCCTCCTAAGTCTCGTCACCCTCCGCCTCAGTCCATGATCTTCACCGATTCTATTAGCCATACTCTTAAACTCAAGGCCCACCACTCCGCCCCACCATCCCTCCGCTACCCACTATCCACTCCGTCCTTACGCCCGCGCACAAGCCCTAGCACTGTCTCATCATTCGTCTCCGCTATCGCTACACCCCCACTAAACACATCCACAAAAGCCCCTCCATCCACTCATATTCTCCTCCCACTACTACTCCGTACTCCCTCCATCTACAGTCATTCCTCAATCCCCACTGCAACCATTTTGAATATATACCTTTCTCCATGATTGTCCCTCATCAAATAACCCAATCAGGTCCCTTAGCTCAGTTGGTTAGAGCGTGGTGCTAATATCAGTTCTGTTCAATCAGCTTGATATGGCACGCCAAGGTCGGCGGTTCGAGACCGCCAGGGATCAATTCTTTTGCTGTGTTGGACTGCTGAAGAGCTTCTCTCTGCGTTGACAAAGTGGTGCTATTCGTCCTTTTTGTTTTTCATGAAAGAGTAAGGCTCAGCGTTGTCAGAATGACACCAGGCTAACTCAACACATATGTTTCTGAATCTTAAAACGCTTCAGCTACGATTCTATTTCAATAGTCTTTTGAAAGAAGAAAGTTACTACATGGTAGAGGTATTTGTTGTCTAAACGAGGTCCTCTAACCTGTATGCGAAAGGAAAAATAGTTTTCAAAAGTAAGTATTGAAGATAACAAACCCCAAAGTGAAGGCGTAATCATTATTCGTAGTCTAATCGTCGCTTTTTCGACAGAGCGTAGCGAAGAAACGAGGAAACTTCAGAAAAAGGGGGGGAAGTTGCCATTAGCTATAAGTTCAAACGAAGACTCACGTGATGACAATACAACAGCTGTATTGATTATCGGAGAATTCAACTTCTCATTTGGAATGCGATTATGATATGAAATGTCTTCTCTGCACACAGTGCGTGGAACCTAGAGATCTAGGATCTTTGTTGGATCTTTATGTATGGGATTTCGAGGTAACGGAGGCATATACTTACTTGCACATGCAAAATCACTTTTTGAGAGAGCTTAGTTCTCATTCTGGTCATTACGAAAATAGTATCTTATTTTTGGTTTGATATGGTTTAATGAGGTTACGAAACGATACTTACTGAGTGATCATGGGTATAGCATGAGATGATATCTAGGAATGTATGTATAAAGTAGGACCAGCTCGAATACGAATCCTTGAAGTAGGAACTTGAGGATAGATAGATCTCTAGTAGATATACACGGAATAGAAATAACTCCAGAGAAGAATAACTCAAAGAGGAAAGAAATGCTATAGTCACTCGTATAAGAACGACACTAGTCGTGCTACTAGAAATATGTTTAAAAAGACATATCAGTTATTCAAGTAGCTAGTTCACGGAGGAATCGTTCCCAACTTCTACATAGGAAAAGAACGAAATGGCATTGTAGGAAAGAATGTAGTTTGGTGATGATTCAAAAGTATGAGGGTAATTTTCACCAGGAAAATTATGCTGCCGCTCTAATGCACATGTCTGATCAAAAGCAAAAAAAGAATCCAACGCAAAAAAGGTCCCCTCCACCCAGGCACAACAACCTCTTTCCCAAGAAACGTCCCATCACACAAAAAATCACCAAACAAAGTCAAAAAGCAAACGACATGTGCAGGATTTGAACCTACGAGGCCGAAACCATAAGATAACCGAATTATTCATTCAAGTCTTACCCATTAACCACTCTGGCAACATGCCCATCATACAAGTTTGCGTGATTTGTTAATGAGGTAATCTTGTTTTCAATATCTATATCTCGCGCATCAAAAGTGGACGAGTGGATTGAACAATTCGGGTAATATTCGGAAACCTAGGTATGAGATGACAGCTCAATGGAGCTTCAGGAATGTGAGAACGACCCCGCGTTCAAAAGTAGGTAATGAAGACCTGAATTGCGATTTCATTATTCCACTTCACTACACTACACTACCTACTTCAATCACAATTACAATTACAAGTACAATCCCAAATATCACATTCAAATAAACTCTCATTCTATAACCAAAATGGCATCTCAAGCAGCATGTATCTTCTGCAAGATAATCAAAGGCAAGTTTCTCATCTCTGTAACGTTAATATCATATCCCGGCGCAATTCCAAAGCTCGATGCAAAAGCTAACATGGTTATGCATCCGTAGGAGATATCCCCTCTTTCAAACTCTACGAATCGGAAAAGGTGCTTGCGTTTTTGGATATCAATCCTTTGTCGAAGGGTCATGCGGTGAGTATTTTCTTGTATTCTTGTTATCGTATAGAAAGAAGCTTGGATACTTGTGTTTCTGCGGGTGAAGCTATTCCGAAGTTTCCAGATTATGGATGGATGGATGGATGGACGATGGATGAGATATACAGATAAAACCAAATTAACACATCCATCAACATCTAGCTCGTAATCCCCAAGCACCACGGCGAGAAACTGGTCGATATTCCTGATGATCAGTTGGAGGAGATTCTGGTACCTATCTCTTTTCCTTCCTTCCTGATCCTCTCTTCGCATTTCCTCGACATCATACTCGGATAAATGGATATCACAACCACGCACATAGATTACATTGAAACCATAACGGATGAGAAATATCCAGAGCTCACGAAATACTAACACAAAATACTCCTACCTAGCCCGTAGTAAAGAAACTCGTCGTAGCAACCGGTGCAGAAAATTACAACGTCCTGCAGAACAATGGACGTATTGCGCACCAGGAAGTTGATCACGTATGTTTCTCGTCTCATTCCCTCATACCCCCCATATCTCTCTCTTCTATCATCCCCATCATAGACTACAATAACTAACAGCTCCTCTAGGTACATTTCCACATGGTTCGTCCCCCTCCCCTCTCATCCTCATAATCCTCAATTCCCCATCCCATCCCAAACTAACCTCCTCCTCCCCCTTTACAGATTCCTAAACCCTCCACCGAAGAAGGCATGTCCATCGGCTGGCCGCAACAAAAAACCGACATGGACAAACTAAAAGCTCTCTTTGCAGAGATAAAATCAAAGATGTAAACAACTCTATAAATATCCGTTGTATTTAGAAGCAAGCAATCAATCAATCAAGGAAGCGAAGCGAAGCAGGCGTTGAGACTCAATACTTTTTTCCAATGATTTATCGGAGAGAGGAAGAACAATTTTATTCCACCGGCGTTTTTTTGCTAAGAATCTCAGGGTGTATTGTATGTAAAGTGCAGGAAGATGATATCTTTAGTTTGGCTGGGTGATTTATCGATTGATCAATGAGAAATGAGGAATGACTACGATGAGAAGGGACGGAAAAGATACATGATATGTATGATAAACCAACAACTCTCAAAAAGCAACTTCCCATTCTCTCACCATCTATCCAGTATATCTACCTCATCTCAACCGCAAAATCCTAGTCTAGTCTACCCCAGCCCAGCCCAGCCCAGAGCAAAATCCATAAAGTATAACTAATCCAAATGCAAGATTACCACCTACCTACTTAGTATACACACACGAGTAGCACGTAAATATTATTTCATCTCCCTCTCCCTCTCCCTCTCCCATGTGTAAAATACAAATACATCTACATCTACATCTAATCCAATCTACAAATCAAAAAGAGATGCTGTTAATTCAAAACAGAATTTCGATAATAGGAACATGTACCTCTAGCTAGGTAGTAAAATACACATACACATACACATACACATACATAGAACCGAGCTTACAAAGGAAATTTGTAAACCTACCTACCTACCTACACAATTGCACTCCTTCCTCCTTCCTCCTTCTTTCCATTATATATACATACATAAACACATACACGCATGTATACATATATCCATTAAACCCCAATACATTCCTCACCAATCTTACACTTGCTGATCGCTCTACCAATCAATCGAAGGACAAAAAATCTATCATATACTCGATATCAAGATATCTCTCTCTTGTTTTATTCTTCTACTCTTAGTCTGAGTCTCGCTCTCGTTCTCATTATATATCTTCCTATTCCTATATCCTTTCCTATACCCTTTCCTATTCCTGTTCCTCCCTCTCTCTCTCTCCCTCTCCTTCTCCTTCACAAACCCAATCTAATCAATATCATCCGCCGAAGTTTCCACCGCCGGAGCAGCCGCAGCCGCCGCAACCGCAGGAGCCGTTTCCCCCTTAGCCTTTGGGTAAAAATCCAATTTCCCCCCTGGATTAATGACGCCCGTTCGATCATACAGACTCTTTGCCCTAACATAGGGATCCAATTTCCAATAATCATCTCTGAGCTCCTTTGCCAATTCGGTCCTCCTAGTCTTAATTTCGGGTGTCTTTCCTTCCGAGTTGATCCACTCCAGTGTAGCTTTCTCATACGCATCCACGATATTCTCTCTTTCTTTCAGGAGCTTATCTCGGGTTGCTGTATCTTTCATCAAGTCATTTTCGCCGGGGACTGGTTCTACGAATTTGTATTCCCAATTCTCGTCGCCGCCGAGTTCGGCGAGGATTTGAGAACGAGGAACGAATTCAGACATCTCTTCGACGTTATTTGTGAATTGAACTTTAGAGGCGACGACGGGGTCTAGCCAGCCACGTATTATTTCCAGATACCTGGGGAAGTTAGTGAAAGGATTTTGTAGAGGGGGAGATGGAAGTGTACCTTGGAAGACCCATGGTGCTCTGTGGACTAAGACCACGCCTAAACTTTCAGGGTAGTTGGCTTCGAAGCATTTAATCATGAATTTGACAGGTCCATAATCCTATAATGAAATCAGTAAGTTCCTGTGGGAAAGGGATGATTTTTCACTTACCATATTTGCCAGAGAAAATCCAGTCATATCGAATACTACACACTATCATGTTGTCAGTACTTATTATACCGAGTAAACTCAACGTGGAAAGTGTATTCTTACAGCAGTATCTACTGGTGGTTCCAATAACATCCTAGCAGATTCTATAATGAAAACTGTGTATCTTTCCAAACTCTCTTCCGACTGCTCTCCTTGTTTGTGTAAGCGAACTCTCACAAAGCACATTGGTCTTCCGGCTCTGTAAGATTTCATATTAGCAATGATCTAAATATGCGTATATCGATGGAGGGGTAGATCTTATTCGAATTAATAAGTGAATAGTAACCAGGATACATACTTGTCTAGCCCATGCAAGAAACTCTTTCCCGAGCGCATCTGCATAAGGAATCCTTCTGCGTGTCTCTTCTTATCAGCATTAGTCGACTTCTCATCTTCAAGAGCAGCCAATTCTCCATTTTTCACGATATCATCATCAACATGCATATCCGAAGCTCTCCATCTCATGGTAGAAATCATCATGACCAATGCCTTATCCACATCCCATTTTCTAGCTCTCAAGAACCTCAATAGAAGCGCATCTGGATGATCGCATTTCACCATACTCCAGAATGTCGCACGAATCGAAGCCGGTGGCAGACTAGCCAAAGCATCGTGAAATTCCTTGGTTTGCCCATATTTATCATCCGCATCCGAAGCATTCGAGATACGCGAAGCAGCGCTTGCAGATTTCGTAGATGCAGCATCATCATCCTTATTTTTCCTGCGCAGAGCAGAGAATCTCTTCTTCTTAGGTTTCTCGGGAGCCGAGGTATCCGATTTTGCAACACCATTGCTCACTTCCGAATCGCCACTGGTACCGTTGGTATCTGCTTGGGGATCAAGTACGCCAAAGACTTGTAGGGTGGCAACCCAGAATTCTCGTAATTTCTCTTCTTCATGTGCTGTCAAAGTGCCAGATCGACCTGGAAGTGTTTCGCCCGTCATTTTGTAATATTCGGAATATTCTTGCTCGGGATCAATTTGTACCTGTTGTGGGCTGGGTGTATGTGTCTTTGGCTGACTGTATGTTGAAGTATAGAGAAATGCGCTGCTAATGAATGTAAGGAGTAAGACGGTAGCCCAATTTCCTAAGCTGCTGTGCACAAGCGTTCGCAAAGACGTTTCACACGAAGTATTGCGCTTTTCAAGGCAGCTGAGTGACAATGAGGATGTGGTTCGATTATAGATGGAAGTTGCAGCGCTCGACCTTTTCCAAGCGGAGTTAGGAAGTAAAGTTGCGCGCTTTTCCGTATTCAATCCCTTGATCTTCAAAGTGTTTGAATGGAGTTCCGAATAGTTGCGACGAAGGGGCGCAAATGCTTGTATCCTACCGAAAGATTGAACAAGACCCCCGCGGTTATGATTTCGACGTATTAATGTAGCAGGTATAGAGAATGAATACTGAGTATATTGATGCACAAAACCACTGGTTACTCCAGCTGGTATTTTCATGGAAAAAATGTTGAGTCGATGATTTTCAATTCTTGGATGAGAGTCAAGATGAAGGAGGGGTTGAGATGGGAAGTGAGGGGACTCAAGCCTTGATATATGGGCCTCTCGAACCAATGTCACCAGCAAAGCAAACTTGTTATGAGGTCAAGGTATGGGCTTATGGTACACAACCACAAAATGAGCTCGTACCTCTCACAATATTATAATATAAAACGCTACGCAAAGAATTCCTGTACCCAATTCTTTTTAGGATCCAAACTCAAAACCACAGGAAATTAAAATACGATCCACGAGCAGCGGAAACATCTTCTAATCCGAAGAAGCCGCGCATCATCAGAAGTGCTTCAATCCAATTTCCTTTTTTTTCCATACGATACCCGTTCTGCAGTTCATAAAAAGTTCGTCATTATGCGGCGCTCTGTTCCAAATGTTGTGTGTGCCAAAACTCGTGCACACGACATAAAATTGTAGGTAGGTGCGTGTACGGAGGAGTGGTAGCGGGGTAAAAAGGTATCTCTCACATTTGTGGTTGGTGCAGGTGGTCCATGGGTGGTGGTCCTTTTAATGCAAGAATGATATCTACGCAGCGTACGTAGGTACGAGGTAAGTTGAAAGGTTTCTGGCATTAAGTTTCACCGCCATCAGATAAAGATATCAATCCTGGATTGTGTTGTATGTTGTACAGATACATACAGACCGACATACATACATACTACATACCTAGCATTGAATATCTAGTACCTACGCGATAACTTTGGGTTGCGCGTTGATTGGGTATTGACGATAAGGTCGTTGACCCAGAATTTGTACGAAGATTTCCACCAGTGCCCCTCGTAACAAAACAACAACACCAGTACATTCACAAACACAACCACAACCACAACCACAACCACAATGACCTCCACCACCCCCCTCAACGACGCCCATAGCAGCGTCAAAAGATCCCACTCCGCCTCTCGAAACCCGCTGTCTCGTCCAACCACTCCTCTCCGTCCATCTTCCCGTTCGTCTCTTCGCGATTCGGCGAGAAAAAGCACAGGCGGTTATTCGAGTGCACCGTTGGAAGCATTTGAACCTGCGTTTGCGGAATTGTCGGACTCCATGGCAGATTTAGAAGCCAATTTTATGCATTTACAATTGATGCATGAGAGCTTGGCGAGGTTTAGTGAGAACTTTGCGAGTTTTCTCTATGGGTTGAATATGAATGCTTTTTGCGTCGATTTTCCCGAGGTTTGTTTACTTGGATTGGCCTATTTTGGGGCATTGGTTGATCAGGTTACTAGGCACCTATTCCAGATTCATTTCGTCGAGCACAAGAACAGGAGGAGCAATTGGGTCAGTATGATAGGTCAATAGGCAATGAACAAGCTACTGATACATGCAATAGGCAAATCAACAAATTCAGAAAGATTTCGTGGTGAAATTGATGGAGAAACAACATTTTTGTAAGCAACATATTATTCGCTGCTATGGTTCATGGTTCGTGGCTCATTGATTTCTCTAGGACCACGGATACCTCGTTCGTTGATAATCCTCCTCCAACCTCCTCGAGAGGAACCCCGAAATTCACAACTCCAGCACCATCAAGAACAGCAGGCTCTTCTGGCCGAGGTGGATCTTCGGGTGGCTCTGGCTCATCTGGTAGAGGTATTCCTGTTCCGCGTGGTGGACGTGGCGGTAGAGCAAGTGGTCTTGCAAGAGGTCGAGGTCGGGGTGTAAGATGAGACGGAAATACACATTAAAAAGCTCCTTCTCCACCATGATACCCCGCCATAGATTTTGTAGTAGCCACGATAAACTAAGCTTTGATAAACCCCTCGTGTGATTACTCCATGTCGAGGGACAACGATATCTGTGCTCAGGTTTCCTGGTCGTCGATAAATCCGGAGTTTTCCATCTCTACCTCTACATCTAGAGCCTTGTTTCTCTTGCCATTGTCTGCAGGTCCTTGGCCAATAGCTGCTTCAGCATCTCTTTGCGTATATGGTCCTTCCTTCAATGCTTGACTCTATTATATCATATTAACATCTTGCTATACAAACATTTTCCCGTGATTCGCAGAACCTACCTTGACTCTTCTCTTGTGAGGTTTGCCCTTGAGATGCGATAGCATACTATTCTCCGATTCATACCATTTTGCGCACTCAATGCAGTACCATTTTCCTAAGCCTGGCAAATCCTCTGCGGCTTTTGAACCTTTATGTTGGGCAAGATGTTTTGGAGAACGAATATCGGCAGAAATTTGATCGAGATCTCTGTTGTGAGAAATATTAATTTTGCGCACAAAATTTTTCAATATCTAACAATTGAAAATTGAAAATTGAACTTGCCTCAATCTTCTTCTGGTCTTGGTCTTTGTTGATTTTTGAGGAATACCCATTTTGATTTATTAGCAGTAGTATTGTATTGATATCGTGATGTCTTATTTCATGGATCGACTTGATTGGAGTTTTGCTGCAAATGGAAATCTCGATGTATCGGACAATAGTTGACAGTCGCAAACTCCGCAATCGTGAATTACTAAAAAATTTGCTCTAGGCTTTCATTTTTTTTTTGGGAAATTACGGGGAAACTTTTACCCTTGCTCGCCTTAATGCTCAATGCTCATCCCACTTGTTTGAGGATCCACTTTGGAGGACCAATCCAACGTGGTGCAGCTGTCCGAGCCTCCGAGGCTTCACGGTTAGATCGGGAAGAGAGTGCGGAAGTTTTGATCGGTTTTGGAAAGCTCCGCTCCATCTGTCCCGGCGGAAGTGAGGATTTGTCTTGGATGCAGATGCCATCGAGATGGGTTTCAATGGTCCATGATATTTAAGGAGTATATGCGTTGGTATTGGTACGATTATATCGATGGAAAGTCTCAAAGTATTGAGAATATTCAAGATTTCAAGACAGCTGAAAATGTACAAGTGATGTGATCTGACTGAGTACCTAGTGTTATAGATACTATCAAGTCAACACCATGGATAGAAGTGTATATATATACCCAGGGTAGCATCTAAAAATGATTCATATCAAAATTCCCAACTTTTGAAGAACCAACCGAGCCAACTCAGCCTCGGGGAGATCCTATATTCATCGCACATGATCGGAGTCGAAGTCCGCCTTCGCATCGCACCGGACCCGTTAGACGGACAATAATGGTGAAGCCAGATTCACACGCAAATGAGAATGTGGATAAATGGATGCGGGCACTGAAATCTGATTGGTTACTAATCTGAAAATTTATCCACTTATCGACCTGCAGACCTACGAAAAATTCGCATTTGAAATATAGCCGCAAACAAAGGCTTCATTGCCGCTTCAATTTCCAACCCAAACCCTTGACGAGCGAGAGGGGAGGAGAGGAAACGAGAGGGACGAGAGCAGAGTAACACAAAGTACATACGAGGTAGAGTAGGACATGAGAAATAAATTTAAAATCTGTTCTCTCCTGTTTTGCTATGGATGTTCTTGATATGATTGTTTCCATTCAATCTTTTTGATTCATACAATACAATATCATACAACACGATACCATACAATTCCGTACAATACCATCCATCCATCCATCCCACCTGATTGATTATCTAACTGTTATCTTCATATCTAATTGGACAAAACTTGACACAAATTACATCTTTGTGCATTCACTTCAACTCCATTCCTGTCTCGCCTTAATCCCGTTTTATATAAAAATCATAATACCTCATCTCTCATTGGTCCGCTCTCCCTGGTCCAAGCTTGAAGATAACCCGCGGCCCCAAGCTTCGGTTGTCCAAGTTTCTTCCTCCCACTATTTTACAACTTCGAGTGGTATAATAATCTTTCCAACCTACAACCTTCCTCCCTCCCCTCCTCTTTTACCTTACCAACTTCTCTCATAATGTTGGCAACAAGACAGGTTCTCGCTGCTGCGCAGCGGCGAGCATTCACCGGCATGGGCATTCGCACAATGGCCACTGTTGGTGATTCCCCGCTTGATAAACAAGTCAGACAAAATATCCACGAAAAGAACAACTTCATCAATTACAAGAAGATGTCCGAGAACCTCTCCATTGTTCGTCAAAGGTTAAACCGTCCTTTGGCCTACGCTGAGAAGATTCTCTACTCACATTTGGATGATCCTCACGGTCAAGAAATTGAGCGTGGTGTATCATACCTCAAACTCAGACCCGACAGAGTGGCTTGTCAAGATGCCACTGCTCAAATGGCCATCTTGCAATTCATGTCCGCTGGCATGCCTTCCGTCGCAAACCCTACCACCGTCCACTGTGATCATTTGATCGAGGCACAAGTCGGAGGTGCTAAGGATCTTACTCGGGCTATTGATATCAACAAGGAAGTTTACGACTTCCTTTCTACTTCTTGCGCAAAATACAACATCGGTTTCTGGAAGCCAGGTTCTGGTATTATTCACCAAATTCTCCTCGAGAACTACGCTTTCCCAGGTGGTCTCCTCATCGGTACCGATTCCCACACACCAAATGCTGGTGGTCTCGGAATGTGCGCTATCGGTGTTGGTGGAGCTGATGCTGTCGATGTCATGGCCAACCTTCCTTGGGAGTTGAAGGCACCAAAGGTTATTGGTGTTAAGCTCACTGGTCAACTCTCCGGCTGGGCTACTCCAAAGGATATTATCCTTAAGGTTGCTGGTATCTTGACTGTCAAGGGTGGAACTGGTGCTATTGTCGAATACTTCGGTCCAGGTACTGAGACTATCTCTGCTACTGGTATGGGTACGATCTGTAACATGGTATGTGTATTTTCTCATCTCTTCCTTTCACATATTTTCATTGTCTCAATTCCTTTTGAACATTCACATGTCATCTTTCTGGCTTGTCACTAACTATATTTACAGGGTGCTGAAATTGGTGCAACCACTTCTCTCTTCCCATTCAACGACCGTATGTACGATTACCTCGCTGCTACCAAGCGTACCGAAATTGGAGACTTTGCTCGCACATACGCCAAGGAACTCAGAGAGGATGAAGGTGCCCAATACGATCAATTGATTGAGA